AATAACACAAAGAAAACGAGTTTAAAGGAAAATCAATGATCTTTTTTCTCCAGTCCTTTATTAAGACCTTGAACTTTGCAAAAGCTCAAAAGGCAAAGTCAAAGCTCAACGATAAACAATTAAAATCCCAACAAGAAATTGTGCATCTGCTAAAAAGCTGCAGCCTCTTAATACCCCATTCACACTTCTGTGACTTTTTCTTTCTTTGCAAACCTGACACTTTCATTGCATGAATTTTGCCAATGTACTAACAATAATGTATTCACAGCATCTCTCCAAGCTACGACAAGACCAGCCTCTCTGCAGCACCTATAATATGACACTGGCTGAGGTCCATCAAAAAGATTAAAAGAAATGGGAGTGGGAGGCAGCTTTCCTGCCCATCACACCATCTTTGCTGCCATTGTTAATACTTATATTGGTGCTGAAACACTGAAAAGTTTAACATAATCATCCCGTTTTTAGATATAATAAAAGAAAGCAACAAAATAAGTGTCTGTGTGAATGTCATAAATGTGGAAGTACATGTGTTTATTGATTTTTTTAATGCAACGGTAATGAAAACCTGAGCAGCCACACTGACTTTGATCTTTTTGAAGAATTCTCTAAGCTGTGAGACTCTACCCAACTTCAAATGGGGGAAGAGGCAGAATCAGACATCTTCAAAGGTAGAACTCATGAAATAATAAGAAGCCTGGCCTGACTCTGCAGTCTTACTGCGAGATTCATCCACACATTTCAGATTTTCTTTTTTAAATTGCAAACAATTTCGTTCTTATTTTTAGGAGAAATTTCATTGGGCTCAATGTGTGTTTTTTTTTCTTAAAGGGCGGCCCATCATCAGAGTTTCAACCTGCGTGTTTTAAATGTGTTAAAGAGAGTGTGTTACGTGTCCTGCATGAGAGACTGAGTTTAGCACTCGCTGCAGCATTTTAGATACATTCTAAGATTCCTTGAATTTCTGATAGTACTAAAGCCTGTTTGAGACAATTCCACATGTGGGAATAAAAACACCAAATAACAGATTTTGTGAAAACTTGTAACTGGTGGTTTCATTGAACGTTGTGATTGTAAAAAGACAAAAACCAAGAAAAGTCTTTCTCCTTCCTCCATTTTCTATCTTGCAATCAGAATACTCGCACCACACAGTGTGTCATTTCTTCTAAAGCTGCACTTTTAGTGATTGATCACACGTTATTGGCATGCAGAACATGATGCACAACACTTGGAAAAATGCTCATATGACTCTTCATTACCTTGCCAGTAGCATCTTGGACCCTCTTTGTCTTCAGAATACTTTAATAATTGTTTTAATAGATTCAACAAATCCTTGGAAAACCTCCTCAGAGGTTCTGTTGACATAGTTTCATCACACAGTTAAATCTATGATGGTAATCCCCCGTTCCACCACATGAAAAAGGTTCTGGACCACACTGAGAACGCAGAGTTAGAGATGATCTGAGTGTTGTGACATGGTGCATTATTCTGCTGTAAGTAGCCATAAGATGATGGGTCCACTGTGGTCCTTAAAGGGATGGACGTGGTTAGCAACACTCAGGTAGGCTGTGGTGTTTAAACCAGGCTCAGTTGGTACTAAGGGGTTCAAAGTGGGACACGAACATCTCCCCCAGACCATTACACCAGCAGCAGCAGCCTGCAGCATTGATAAAAGGCAGGATTCTGACCTGATCTGATCAATCAGCTTTGACATCAACAAAACTGCTGCACATTGGCTATTTCTCTTTTTCTGACAATTCTCCAACATCAGCAAGTCACTTTTACCACATCTAGGTCCCTAAATGCTTCGAGCAGCTGCCATGTGATCGCTAATTAGCTATTTGTGTTAACAAGCAACTGAACAGGTTTATTTTTTTATTTATTGTGCAGTGAAGCAGCTATTTCACATTAAGGGAAATTGCCTACGCTCATCATAACACTTGATTATTAAACTGCCTCAGAACAGGGAAATAATGCAGCTTTCCATTGTTAACTGTTGTGAGCGGTTTTCATCCCAGCAAAAACCTCCCAATCACCTCCATAAAACAACCCATTTAGAACCCATTATAAAGGTCTGCAGGGCAAATGAAAGCAGTAATTACCTCTATCTAAAAAGCTGGAAATCAAAATACTGCAAACAAATTAGATGAATAAAAAGATAAACATGCCATTGAGGTATTTGTTTTGTAATTCTCTCAGACAGGATTGCATCTATTCCACGTGACTTATTGCAACATGACAGAGTTTATTCTGCACTGCATCTACAGATGATTGCTCCCCGATTGTCCCTTCAAAAACACTCCTTCCTCTGAGATTTGACTCCACTGTGTCAACAAAAAGGAACAGAAAAGATCTTCACAGCCCACACGTTTTTATTTCCTTCATATCATTGAGGGTAGACGACACATTACTAGAAAAGCCTGAACTCTTGACCCCTGCAGGGAGGGGATCCAGTGTCACTGAATGGGGAATTCTGGTGCTAATCATTATCAAATTGTTCTGTGAGACTGAATTTCTCCAAGGGTGAAACATCTATTTTTATGATTGAAATATTTTCTATTAGGGGTAGCAATGTGTTGTCCCAAAGGGAGCGGAGGAATTTGATGACATGCTAATTATGTGAATCAGAGCAGCCAGATTTGTACCCAAATGAACCCCTATTGAGCATTATTTAAAAGATCTAGAACAAAAAATAAATAAATAAAACATCAAAACGAGGCATATCTATAAAAGTAAAGTTGGATAATTATGTAAGACCAATTCCATGATACTTTGCAGCTGTTTAGTGACACATTATGACAGTTTTTCCCCACAAAATGAGACCTTAATCAAGATAGGATTTAAAATTTGGTTGATTTGTTATTTTTTCAATTTGTTTTTCTTCTTGCACATCACACAATAGTTTTGTAAGTGCTTCCTCTAGCTTTTATAGGGCCCAAGAACTTCACCCACAGGGCATTGAAGAGTTATCCTCTATTGTGTGATTAATAATGAAGCAAGAGCCCAGCTGACTACCGACACAGTTCAAAAAGGTAGTCATCTCCAGGCCAACCCACACACACACGCACACGCGCGCATGCATGTCAGCACAAGCACTGACGCGTACACAGGTCATAGCTGTGTGACATGCTGGGAAATAAAGAAGCAGGATCATTTGATGATTGACGTGTTTTTTGTTGTTTTGTTTCCCCCAAAGTGAAGGAAAACTTCAAGGTTTGCCTGCCTGTGGAAATGAATTACTACAATCCACAGACAGGTTTCAAGGACAGCCATGTTCATCATGTAAAGAAATAATTCATTTTATTTAACCATTATCAAGATAAATAACTATTTTAAAGTAAAATATTAAGCAGAACTAATTGCCAGATACTTTCTCTATGGTTGGCCAATTAATATTTACTCGGCGTGACATGGTAATATATGGCATGTATTATAATCTGAGAACAGCCAGAACATTTTGGTGTTCTTTCCCAAAGTGGTTCAACAGACTTTTCAAACGGGAACACGTTTTAGTGCCTTTTAGCACTTGTATAATTTGTGCAAATGCAGGCTACCTATAAAGATCACATTACACCGGACAAGGTGACGCCTGCATCTACAACGTCAACGCGTAAAGTCTGGAGCTGTCCGTCCTCGCGGTTCTGAAATAAACATGCGCGTGTGTTTTATTACAATACCTGATTATGTCATCGTTGTGCCCCAGGTAAAATTTCTGCTTGTGCTCCCGGGTGTTGTACACAACTCCCACACCCGCCACGAAATAGACTATTTCCTTTGCGGCTGTGTAGTACAGGTTGTTGCGGCACTGATGTCCCCGGTATCCGTACACCCACTCCAGTCTCAGGTGGCAGTTGGGAGCAGTTCTGTCAGCCATCTCCGCCGCACTTCCGTCTGTATCTCTCCGTCGCTGTCGCGTAGGCTCTCGGATATTCTCTCATTCACCAAAAGGGGATTTATTCTAAGCCCGAGCGTCCCATTAGTTCCGTTAGATTTAAACCTGTCCACAGCTGAAACTATGAGTCATTTTTAAGCGGATGTTGGCATAAACAGACTCACTGCCCAGTGGGATGGAAGGTCTCTGTTTGGAAAATAGGTTTCTACGCTGCTCTCTTCATTCTGAGAGTCTCGTTGCACTTCTGCTGCTGCGGGCTTCAGCTCCTATTCGACACAGGTCAAAGCTCCTGTCAGGTCCTACAAAGATGGAGCTGCGCTGTATTTCCACACGCACCACCCACACTAATGACGAAATGGTTTGTCGTGCAATCAAATCCTTCGATTCATCCGTGATGTTAAAAAGCAGAAAAATATGGCAAGCAGTCACGACACATATGCATTTGACTAGCAAACGGATTAATCAAATGACAGAAGTTTCACGGAAAATATGAGTCAACAATTTCTAATAAAATGTTTTTTATCTGCCACCGGCCTAGCCTACGTATAGAAAATAAAATGTTAAAACTTCCGCAAATATTTCCAAGCATTTATCTAGATTTCATAAACATATTTTATATGCAATTTTAGTCTGATTGAAACATTTTTCCATGTGAGAAAGGGAAATTCCATTTTGCCATCCTAATTTCTAACAAGAACGTATTTCTAATTAGGAAGGCATAATTTACTGATGTCTTACAAAATTAGCAATTAATATGTTTTCATTACATGTTACAATAGCCTGCCACACATGAGAGTAATGATAGAACTACTTGAACCGAAATTAATAATAAAAATAATTCATTCAGTTATTAATAAGAGTTGTGTAAATTATAAAACACTAATTTATATGGTAATTTTGCATTTTTTTATTGCAGCAACTTTTGAAGATGCACTTTATAAAGTATTTATATTTATTATATTTGATGCATTTAATTAAGCAGAAAATAATTGTTACGTTATTAATTAAAAATGACTTGAGATAAAACCATTTATTTTATTTTATTTTATTTTATTTTATTTTATTTTATATCAGTCCGACACAGGAAGTGGCGTTAGTGAAGGACTGACCTCTTCCGCTGCTGCCTAGCAACAGAGGAAGCTTTTAGATTTATCCGTGCTTTCCGTCTTCTTTTAGCATTTTAGCATCTTGCTAAACCGACGTTCCTACCTTCCCCAGCAATGGAGGTCACTATGGATCCTTTGTTTCTTGCGTGGAGTTATTTCAGGAGGCGGAAATTTCAGCAGTGTTCAGAAATCTGTACAAAAATATTACAAGACAGTCCATACGACCAGGTAATGTTAGCCGTTCCTGCTAGCTGCCTCAATCTGCTATACGAACTGCTGCATAATCCCGATTAGTCCTGTATGTTTAGATTATCATAGTTCACCATCACTGCATTAGTTACTATTAGCTTAGGTGTCATGTCTTCTGCTTATTTTCCGCCCAGTATTTTATTTTCCATCATTTCTCTCATTTATGTTTGTTCACTGTAAGTTTTTTCTCCTCTCACTGACTCACTGCATACTGTTTTAAGGACTCGTCCTTGTTTATCTCAGAGGTAATAATCACTGCTTTCTATTCCCCCTTACCTTTCTGTCGTCCATACCTATAACTGATCACAGACATGTGCACCTTTTGCTGTAGCTGATTACTTTTGTAAAATTCAAACCTTGTGTGTCACAGGCTGCATGGAGCTTAAAAACCAGCGCCTTTACAGAGATGGTGTACGTCGATGAGGTCGATGTGGACCAGGAGGGGATAGCTGAGATGATGCTGGACGAGAGCTCTATTGCACAAGTTGCACGTAGGTCTTAGATCCTTTTTCTGCACCTTTTTTTCACTAAATATTTTCATTCAGTGAGAAGTTTTTTTGTAAATAATAAACCTCAACTTTGCTCAAGGGCCAGGAACATCTCTGAGACTCCCAAGCACTAGTCAGGGTGGAGGTCCCTCTCCAGCTGTCAGGTATACAAAGGGAATGTTTTAGGAAAGAAGAGGAAACCCGGTTAAATTTATTTTCTTCTGATATTTAGGCCCATGACTCAGTCAGGACGCCCTATAACGGGATTTGTGAGGCCAAGCACGCAGTCAGGTCGTCCCGGTACGATGGAGCAGGCAATCAAAACCCCACGAACCACAAGCACCGCTCGTCCTGTCACTGGTTCTACTGGTAGATTCATTCGTTTGGGAACTGTGAGTGGTCATACACAAAAATACTTACCCCACCAAACAAACACATGAATTACAGTAATTTTAGATTATATTTGCATTACTTCATGACCAAAACCTATGCTCTCTTATAATAAATCGTCATGTTTTGTTGTGAAGATTCTTACAAATTCCAACAATTTAGTTTCCTTTTCCTTTCAGGCTTCAATGTTAACCAATCCTGAAGGACCTTTCATAAATTTGTCCAGACTAAATCTGGCCAAATATTCCCAAAAACCCAGTTTATCCAGGGTAAGGCGAAATCTGTCTTCCAGCAATGTCTCCTAATTCTTCCTCAGATGTCAAGTAATCAGCATTTCCCTCCACAGACACTCTTTGAGTACATCTTTCATCATGAAAATGACATAAAAAATGTAAGTTTAGTCTTCATCTTTGCTGCAAAGAAAATTGATTTGCATTTCATTATGTGGCTGTTTGATTTGGTGCAACTCTTTTCCTTGCAGGCTTTAGATTTGGCTGCTCAAGCTACTGAACATGCACAGTTCAAAGACTGGTGGTGGAAGGTCCAGCTGGGAAAATGTTACTACAGGCAAGTGAAAAGAAGTACCCAGACCCTTTGTGGATTTGCATTTATTACCACTTCGTTTTGTGTGTATCAACTTCAGCCACAATAAACATTCCCAACCTTCTCAGGCTTGGTTTGTACAGAGAAGCAGAGAAACAGTTCCGATCAGCTCTCAACCACCAAGAGATGGTAGACACATACCTCTATCTTGCAAAGGTATTGACAAGAAACTGTGATGATATCACCTTATATTGTTATTTTACCAAGTCTGTGCAAATCCAAAGTATTATTTATGTGCCTTCTTGAAGGTTTATCAGCGCCTGGATCAACCAATAACTTCCCTGAACCTTTTCAAGCAAGGCCTGGACCACTTTCCTGGTGAGGTCACTCTTCTAACAGGAATCGCTCGCATCCACGAGGTAAAGCATCCCAACATGGAGCCCTCTCACTTCGACGCCATGACCTAATGTCTAAAGGAGATTATTTCTGATCTGATTAACTCTCAGGAAATGAACAACATCTCTTCAGCCACAGAGTACTACAAAGAAGTCCTGAAGCAGGACAACACACACGTGGAAGCTATAGCCTGCATAGGCAGCAATCACTTCTATACTGATCAGCCCGAGATCGCCCTGCGCTTCTACAGGTCAGGCAGCCTTTACAAATTAACAATAATGTATATTTTTATGTCATCAGCCTCTTCCTTTACTAGACGGCTGCTCCAGATGGGAGTGTATAACTGCCAGCTGTACAACAACCTGGGCCTGTGCTGCTTCTACGCCCAGCAGTACGACATGACGCTGTCCTCGTTTGAGAGGTCTCTATCTCTGGTGTCGAGTGACGAAGAGCAGGCAGATGTCTGGTACAACATTGGACATGTTGCCATGGTGAGTCAGCGGTATTAGAAAATTTCCCAAAAGGTCTGCTGATCTGAGTCCACATCTTCATTCTTCACAAGGCGTACAGCAGTGGCGTGTCCAGATCTTTTAAACTGGGGTGGCCCAGGTGAGGCACAACTTTGTGCATGGGTGGCACCAATGGTTATGCTTTTTTGTTTTACCCCCAAGCCTTTTGTGGACAATGAAAAGCCTATTTGAAGGTAAATTAGTGTGGTGACACCTGGGGTGGCCAATCAGATTCCAAGGGTGGTACCCCAGGCCACTCCCTGGACACGCCCCTGGCGTACAGTTAAAACAATTCCGACGCTGATCCATAGAATTCTCAAGCTAATCCGGGTTGTGTTTATGTTTTGGATGCTTGCAGGGTATTGGAGAGCTGACGCTGGCGTATCAGTGTTTTAAACTGACCCTGACTTTCAATAATGACCATGCTGAGGCCTACAACAACCTAGCGGTGCTGGAGCTGCGCAAAGGTCACATCGAACAGGTAAAATGCAAGATCAAACATGTGCCGTTGTAGACGATTCATGGTGCTTAACAACAATCACCCTTGGATGCTGGTTGTATTATTAAAAAATAAAATCTCACTACACAGCATTGATTGTTTTTAAGAGGATGTATTATGAAAACTCAGCTTTTGTGCTGCAATGTGGGTCTCTATAAAAACTCCAAACATTAAAAAAAACCTTGTCAATCCATTTCCTGTCAGTGTTTGGTTCATGAACATGTTATAGACAACACAACTGTTCTATATTTGAAAAATAAGTCATAATATGTCTCCGTTAAGTGTTCCTGTACAAGATCCATAAATCCAACATTAACCCAGTGCTCTGCAATAAGTCACCATAGCATTAATATAATGATATGTGGCCAGTCCTCTGTGATGATGAAAATCCAATAATAAAGAATCAGACCTCGCTTTGTAGAATCTTTCATGCAGTATTTGTACGTTTAGCCGTTATGCTAATAAAAATGTTAAACTTCAACCAAAAGTTGTTAATTAGATGCACATTAAACGTGTTCATTATAAAATGTTTGATAAGAAATGTTTCTTGTGCTTTGATTCAGTCTAAAGCCTTCCTGCAAACAGCCGCATCTCTGGCGCCACACATGTACGAGCCTCACTTCAACCTCTCCATCCTCTGTGAAAAGGTAATGTGTTGCTGCAGCTGGGAGTGTCAGCAGTAAAGTTGTGTTCAGTTACAGTTTGTCTGGTATGTTTGTCAAATGTTCTGGGTGATTTTATTATTTTATTCGTCTGCGCCCAGATTGGAGACCTTCAGAGCAGCTACACCGCAGCTCAACGCTCTGAAGATGCTTTTCCGGAGCATGTTGACACCCAGCAGCTTCTGAAGCAGCTCCGGCAGCACTTTGCTGTGCTGTGAATGTTAGACGCCATCAAGCATCTATTGCAAACACAGTGGTGGCAGGTTAGTCAAGCTTGAAGATCCACAAAAGGACATTAGATCCCTTTAAGGTTAAGACAAAAAAGGGCTTCTCCCTTTTTGTGAAGCTGTTTTAACCCTCATCTGATGAGATTTATCACTTCAAAGATCTTCAGCGAAGGAGAATTTGTTTTTATTTGTAATTAAAACTGTTACTCTAAACAAAAACAGTAAAACTTTACCTGTTAGTTTACTGTGACTTGCTGGAAATGTGACTGATGGTCTTCATCTGTTAACGTTACAAATCCACAAGCTCTGATGTAGTCTGGAGAATCGTAATCGGTATCAGTAGGTTTGGGAAATTTAATCAACTCTTTGTTGACTTTTAAACATCTTTGGTGAAAAGGCCAGGATTTAATGAAAATATACAAGTCCAGAGTTTCAGTTTACATAATATTTATTGTTCTTATGAGGATAAATGTCTTAGAAATGAGTTCTAGTGAACTTTACAGGATGTAAACTCAAAAATGTTTTCTGTACAGTTCTGAGAATAAAATAGCAAATTACAACTATCTCATTGATTTTTTTCAACACAGTTAAACCAGAATTGCGTGTGTGTGTGTGTGTGTGTGTGTGTGTGTGTGTGTGTGTGTGTGTGTGTGTGTGTCCCATCAAAAGAAAATTAACATTAACCTATCGACCTCGGAGCTGACTCACAAATCCACTTCAGCCTAAATTCACACGGGGCATCATTCCAAGCCATGAAAGGGTTGTCGGTGGGATAAATAGCTGCACAGTCTTCATTGTTTACGTTGTTTGGTTCTCCGATACTCCAGAACCTGCAAACAGACACCAGGCTGCTTTGTTGGTTTGTATTTTTGTTTATGTTCATGTGGAAGAGGAGTATCACAGCAGACCACATCAGTACTCTGATCATTCTAAAGTTCAGCTATTTAACAGTTTTACCCCTCCTTCAGTTTTGTGCCATCCAACCATTTCCAAACTCCTTCATCCTCTGCATCAGTCAGTCCGATCCAGAAGCCACTGAGGTGCAGAATACCGGTGGGGTTTCTGAATGTGTTTATGAAATTAAATAATGCCACCTGACCACAGAAAAAGACACTGATTACTTGTGAGTTGCTGAGATAAAGGATCAAATCTCAGATTTAAATCGGGTCGTGAAGTTTTACCTGTTTGTCTCTGCTGTCTAGTACCACTAAGTCCCCCCCGAGCCTCTGGCAAGACTGCCGGGCTTCCTGCCACACTGTGCGGGAATAAGTACTGGCGAACGGAAAGTAGAAGCAGGTCGAGCTCAAGAAAGTCCACCCTGGTGCACAATGTCTGCAACCCTCTCCTGATTCCAGAAAAGAAAACAACCATGATGAGTGCCTGGATCAGATCATTCATACATGGAACATGTCATATCAGAAGCCTCACTTATCATGGGAAGCTGGGATTTTAGCGTTGCAATGTCCATCTGGATCCTTTCAACCTGATTTCCATAGTCTTTGATTCTGGCGGTCAGGTGTTCATGCTCCCATCTGGTGACCTGCTGCTGACTGCGCTCGGTGGCCAGCAGTTTCAGAGCGTCGTCTCTGCCTTGGACCGCAGCGTTGTACGAAATCTGCAGTTTGGCTATCTCACTGCTGATGTCCTTCACAACATCACCATCAGTAAGTTTGTAATCTGGAAGCAATGCAGTCAGTGGTATCATTTTATATGATATAGGCTGAAATAAATAGAAACAGTGCAGATATATGCAATTATTTGTGAATTTAGTGTTTAACGTGTAAGTAAGAAAAAATCTAAAATAGGTTTTTAAAACAGTGTACTGAATCAAAAACAAATAAAAACTGTGATGAGAATATTTTTATTCTTTTTAATAAATTTTATTTTATTAAAACTATTATTTATGATAAGAACCTGATATTCACTTGTTTGGGGTTTGATTTGGCTGTAAGATCTGTGTGAGATGTTTGCTGGTTCATCCTCTAGAGGGCAGCAAATAAACATTTAACTAAATTGTAGTTTTTTTTTTTTTGTTTTTTTCCTTTCTTCATGAAGAAAATAATTCATATTTTTTATTTACTTTAAAAAAATAAAACTAGTTTTATTCTTTACCTGGTCTGAGCAAAGTGGCAGCACAGGTGATTTATTTTAGTGAAAGCTGCCCACAGAAGAGCCACGGATAAAAGATAAAACCAGACTAAACTAGAGCCTGCACAGTTGCAATTACTTCATTTTAAGATGTACTAGTATAAAAACATTATTGTTCATGAAAATTATTTATTTGACGTTATTGTTTTAGCAGTCATGGCTGCACTGGTTGTTTATTTGACATATTTTTACTGATGCTCTAATATTATTAACTTTACATTTAATTATATTTGGGTTAAAGTAACTTACAGTAAACCCCCAGGCCAATGTCCACCACCAGCAGAATGAGAGCGAGCACCGCCAGGCTCACTGTGAACATTTTGTAGTGATTCAAGGTGAAACCAGGTCTCAGCGCTGACATGGTCACTGCACAAGAAATGTTTAAGTATCAGAAGCAAATTAAGGATTATTTGATAGCATTATTCACATAGAATAATAAATAATGTGCATTACACACAATTTCAGAGTCATAAATCTGTATTATAGTAGTTTTCCATACCTTGGTGTTCCTGGTTTCTGTGAACAGGAAGATCATCTTCAGCTGTTAAATCCTGACTTACTAGTTTCTCATAGGAGCTGCTTGTGTTTTCTTTGTCCTCCATCTTAGATATTTGATGGGATGATCCAGGAGAAACTGTTTTCCAGGACCTTGCCCCATCAGTGTTTGCATGTGTGTGTAACGCACACACATAAAGTCAAGTTCATGGGTTAAAAATTGACAGAGGGTACTTTGATGATCTCCAAAAACACCATAACTTCAAATTTCTTTATCAGACAATTCTGATACAGAAATGAATTAAATTTTTAAATTGTTGCACCAAAGATGTTTTATTTTAAGTATAATTATAATAATAAAACACAGGCTTTTAATTAGTTATTTTTTGTTATTATAAAATACATTTAAAATAACATGTTTGTCATTTATTAGTAAAGAAAACATTTTTTATTTGAATTTTTTTTTATGTTTCAGAAAACAATTGTGATTTAAGCATTTTTATTCGTCTTTCCACTCATGACAAACATCCAGTAGGTGGTTCAGCGGTTTCTTGGCTCCATCTCACAGACCCAGTTCATTCTGTACTGCTGACAGTTTGCATTATACCACGCATTCAGTGTAGAAGCAGGAAGAAAAGCGGTGCAGTTGCCACTCTGAGCTCCAATGATGTTGGGCTGGCCCCTTCTCCAGAACCTTTAGTAAATCAAAACTTTAATTAGGGATAATCTAACAGGTTACGCTGACTTATTAACGTTTCTCAGACGCTTACGTTGGGGACTCCTCCGTCACATTATTTATCCACACCCATTTTCCCTGATGCTGCAAGTCAGTGAGGCCGATCCAGAACCCGTTCAGCCACCATATGATGCTGACGCGGTCCAGCCTTCGAAAATTGTCATTAACGAGTATCTGTAAAAATGACACATAGTCGTTCAGTTGTGAGCGTAAAGTTAAAAAGAAATGAGCAAAACATTTTTATGCTATTCCGACCCACCTGTTCCTCCATGTTGTTGATCACAAGCAGGTCTCCTCCTTTACTGATGCAGTCCGCTCTGCTATCAAACCAGTTCTTCTTTGAAAGAGCTTGGTTTTCAGAAAAAAAGTAACAGGAATTTTTCAGAATCTGCCATCCTGGTGGGCATCTGTCACAGTTTTCCTCTGTTATAATGAAAAAACATTGAGTTGTCAGAAGCCTTTTCTCTAAAAGGTTTTCAGAACTATTGCAGCACAAGTCAGTTTTAAGCTTCTGAAGAACATTTGACATTTGTTTCTATGCCACTTCACCCAGAACGGTTTTATTTGACTGGAGATTTGTCTTCTCTGCTTGCAGAGTCTCAATTGTCTTCATGAGGTTGTCGGTAATAATCCCCTTTTGTTTGACCTCCAGCTTCATTTGCACATAGCCGGCACGCTCTTTTGCCAGGGCCGCCTCGGCCTCGGCTTTAGCTCTGATGATGTCAGTGTGGTTGCGGAGGAACTTCATCTCCAGGATGAGGGGTGTAGCAGCTTGAGAAGAAATCTGAAGGTCTGTTGCCTTTGCACCTGAGTGGTGAGATAATGTTGTAAGAGAAAAACAAGCTTGAATCTCTGGTATTATTTCTGGCTGTTTTTAACATTTCAGGCACAAACATCTCAGCAGACGTCAGATGGACTATTGTGAAGTTTTGAGACGTTTGTAACACCCAAAGGATAAATCTTACTATGATGACATCCTGACCTTTCCAGTGCCACCAATACATCAAGTGTCCAATGAAACATCTCAGCTCAATGCTAATGCAAATCTGTATTATTTAAAACCTCAAACCCTTCAGTTGCCTTTAAAATCTTGAGGATGTTTCTGCAGATCCCTCTGTTTTTCAGGTGCAAATAAAAAGAACTAATCTTGGCTGGAGGAAAATAATAATAATGGCCTTTTACAGGAAAATTTGGAGCCTAAGCCTACTTAGTTATTAACATCCAGTCCATGTAACCCCTACAGCCCAAAAATATGAATGGTAGTCTATAGTTATTTTCTGATCCCCTTTGATATGTACTGATATGTGTTATGAATAATAGCTTTTTAACCAACAATATGCCTGAAATTAATTGATTTGGTTAGATTATAATAAATAAACAGCTTTTCTGGATAATTCCATCCCATAAAGACAATTTTAATGTCTTAGCTGCTCATTGTATTTACTTGCATGATGTGTGACCAATAAAATGTTTATTCACTTCCATTTAATGTAGTTCTGAGAAGATATTTCAATCTGCACATTTTTCTGTTGTGTTATTAATCACATGCAACTTTTAATTGTTTATATAAAGAGATAAATGACAGCTTTTTTTAAAAACAAATTAATGTCACATTTCAAAGAATGCATCAATCACTGAATGTGCAGACTAATTAAATTAACGTTGAACTGAGTCAACTAAAGCTTACTCACAGTAAATCCCAATGACAGCAGCAGCTATCAGCAGAGCGGCATTCAGCAGACCCAGACCCAGTATAACCAGTCGGTGGTGTTGAACAGGAAATCCACCTCTCGTTGCAAACGGACCTTTAAAATGTTCCCATTAGTGTTACTTTGAGCTAATTTAATCATTAATAAGTACTCAAAAAGGGTTTTCTATGATATAAAAGGAGTGGAGGGAAGTTTATTAGAAAGTTTACCTTGTCCAAGTATTTGAGGATGAGAGTGTGAGACTTCCTCTGTGGTTAAATCTTGGTAGATTCTTCCTTCAGAAGACATCTTTTCCTCTGTTTTAAAGCGATTTCTCGGCTAAACGATGAAAGTTGAACCTATTGATCTGTTTGCTTCTCCTGCTCAAACTGGCGCATGTGTGTAGCTCTCTCTCTGTGTGTGTGTGTGTGTGTGTGTGTGTGTGTGTGTGTGTGTGTGTGTGTGTGTGTGTGTGTGTGTGTGATGTTAAAATAAACTGGACTTGCATTTAACTGTTCAGTAACCAAAGGAAAGAGGTTAGGTGAGGCATTCAGTTTCAAAAGCTTGTTTTATGTTAATGTTAGAAGGATGAGTCATTAGCCAAAAAACATTTATGACGGGTTCCACAAGGCTGTGTTTTGGGGACTCTTTTATTTTACATCTGCTTAGCTCGATCATGAAAAGCAACAAAATGAGACATATCACAAATGTAAAAAACTACACACAAACTTACAAACCAAACAGTCTCTTTTAAAAACCTACCTTTTTACCCTTGCTTTTAATTGATTTTATAGTTAAGCAATTTTAGGGTCTACTGGAAGGCTCAGTGTATTATCATTTTATTTACTGCTTGTCTGTGTACAGCACTTTGTGCAGTCTCTGATTGTTGGAAATGTGCTATATAAATAAAATTGACATTGACATTGACAAACCTGAGAAGCTTTTTTTAAGCAAATACAAAGCAGAGGTCACTATTTACGAGGACAAGGAAGAACACAGTTGTTTGCTCCTTTCATTTATTTTTTGTACTTTTGGCTACTTTACAGTTTTTAAAATGTTGATTCAGAAATAGACATAAATGAAAAAGTGCATGCACATTTGAATATTTCTACATCACCATTTTGGTCCTAATTAATTGCCGTTATCTTCAAGCTTTAAAATAAATTGTTTTCGCAGGTTTAAAACACAGATATAAAAAACTTGGATGTTAATTTATAAATTCCTCTGATCTGCAATGTGTTATGATCAGCCGTTAAATCTGAAAGTGGCCCGAATCAGCAAGATTTCCTTTTCCAAGCTTTATTCGAACCTGCATCACATGTAGCAATATGAGGCATCCATCTTAACTCCTCTTAGCACTTCTCTCTCTCTTACCTCTTTCTTCTATTCAGTACTGCCCTCTAGTGGTAGACACAACATCAGCAGGACAAGCTATGAATGAACACTATTGACACTGAGTTGAAACTTTTTTCTCTGCAGGTATTCGCTGTAGCTACACAGTTGAGTGACTAAAACAAACTAAAGTAATTACAAGGGAAATTATTTGTTGTATCAAAAAAAAAAAAAAAAGCTCAACTCTCAGAGGTTGGTGCTTTCTCACAAATCCATTTTTGTTCATGTTCACACGTTAAATCGTTCCAAGCCTTGAAGAAGTTCTTTTTGGCATACACTGATGCACAGTCCTCGTTGTTGGTGTCATTTGGTTCTCCATCCATCCAGAACCTGCAGCATACAGTGGGTTACTTTACAGAGATGCATCGCAGATCTTTGTGTCAACTAAATGTGAAGACACTAGTGCTGTTGTTGCACTTTTACCCTTCAACAAGACTGGTTCCATCCAACCATTTCCAAGTTCCTTCGATGTGTGAATCGCTCAGTCCAAACCAGAAGCCTATATGGACTTTTGAGGGCTCAACATAATGTACCAAGTGATTTACAATTGCTTTCTATCAGAGCGAGAAAACGAAACAAAATTTGTTGATTAAAATTAAAAAAGTCTAAAAGCATTTTGTCCAGGAAGAATAACTTGCCTGCTTGTCTTTGCTGTCTATAACTACAAGGTCTCCTCCATACATTTGGCAGAACATCCTCGCTTTGTTCCATGATTTGAGTCCAGCAGCATCAGAAAAGTGGAAAAAGTAGCAGGCTGAGTTCATCAAGATCCATCCTGAAGGACAGCGCCCGCAGCCACCAGCTGTTGAGGGAAAATAAACAACTAAATGTGTCAAAACAAACCCCTGACTCCATGATGTTCTTTTCATTTAAGAAAACCATCTCTCACCAGTCATTGGTAAGTGTGATTTCAGGTATTCATTGTTCTTGGTCATTTCCTCAATCTGCACTCGGTAAGCTTTGCTTGATTTGGTCTGGTGCTCCAGTTCCCAGATGGTCTCCTGTTGGTCCTGCATATCGATGTCTGGCTGCTTGTGGGAACCCATCGTGGGTTTGACGGCGCTCTTTTGAGGTTTTTGGAGTTCATCCATCGCTTTACTGATGCGTTCTGCATGTTCAAGAGTGAGGTGGGCATCTTTGAGGTTGTTGTCTGCAGAAAATGGCATTGGTTCAGATTTTTACCGCAATCCTGATCAAGAAGCTCAAGCTTCTAAATTTTACCAAACAATCTAAGGAATTAAAAACAAATTTAAGTCAATTTCTTTGAATAAAACTGATTTGGTTTAAATAGTATTTTTTTTAATTAAACACAATAACTATTTTACTAATTTTCTCAAATTTCCTAAAAGTTCTGAGCTTTTACACTGTATAGGACTGATGAGCTAACAGCTAGTTATGACCATCTCCAACATCCAGACTTTATCAACAGATCATCTGACATTATTGTATAAACATTTAAAACTATCACCATAAGAAGTTACATGTACTGCTGGTGTGGCTGCGCGGTGGCGCAGTGGTTAGAGCTGTTGCCTTGTAGCAAGAAGGTCCTGGGTTCGCTTCCCGGCCTGGGATCTTTCTGCATGGAGTTTGCATGTTCTCCCTGTGCGTCCCTGAGTGCGTGGGTTCTCTCCGGCTTCTCCGGCTTCCTCCCACAGTCCAAAAACATGACTGTTAGGTTGATTGGTCTGTCCAAATTGTCCTTAGGTGTGAGTGTGTGTGTGTGTGTGTGTGTGTGTGTGTGGGCATGATTGTTTGTCCTGTGTGTCTCTGTGTTGCCCTGTGATGGACTGGCTCTCTGTCTCTGTACCCCGCTTGATTGCCCGTTGACTGCTGGAGATAGCCACCACCCCCCCACCCCCACCCCCCACCCCCACCCCCCGCGCGACCCTGCGTGGACAAAGCGGGTTCAGAAAATGGATGGATGTACTACTGGTGCACACAGGGGACCTGTCCTGCAGAAATTCCTTAATGTTCCTGTGAAAATAACTGCAATCGAACCTGACAGTAGTGTTGCGGTTTTGAAATAAAGTTTGAATGAACTGGAATTTAAACATTTCAGGCAGCAGTTCTTATAGAAAATTAATGTTTACAGAAACTTACAGCGCACGCCCAGGCTGATATCAGCTATAAGTAGAACACCAGCAAGAACCACCAGGATTAGTGCAGCCAGTCTGCCACGTCTCCATGAACTCACACGGAACAAAAACACTAGACAAAATGGCAACAAAGCAACAACTGATTTATCATTTATTGCTGCAACTGAAAAATGCAGTAAAGAGTTGATAAAAATCTTCAGTGGAAGGGTGGTAAATCTTTAAAAACCATACCTTGCAGTTTGCTTTGGTTAAATTGGTTGCAAGTCTTCAGGTCTTCATCATCACTAACCTCTTGACTAACCAGTGTGTCACAGTCAGAGCCACAGCCTTGGTGTCCTGCCCTCTCCATTACTGCTGTTTGTTATGAACACTTGTGTGCAAGGACAAGTGAAAGCATAGACACGATCGTAACCAAAAAAGTTGAATTCCGAGTTGAAGAGAATAGGGAAATGAAACAACTTTCCCAATAGTGTTACTTCAAAACCCAGATGTGAATGTGCTGACTTGTGTTTTGTGCTATGATGTGAAATCAACTGAAATGAAAACTCAGGAAATTTCCAGTTCAGCTTCCTTTTACTATCATAAAGAGTCAAAGTTTCTGAGTGAATCAGTTTTCAAATGAAAAAGTTATAAAATATTTTAGAATCTAAAGAGTTTTTTGAAGTTTCACAAAATTCATTCATATAAAATATTTACAAAAGTTTCAGTTTTTTTATTTGTTTTTTACAAGATCTTGAGGGATTTGAAACAATCGGTATAAAAAAGCCTCATGCCTGAGAGTGACTTTAAATTTCAGCAGGTGGAAGGTAAGCACTGTGAACGATTGTCATTTATAATTACTGAAATCACACAAAGCTGAGCATTTACTAGGATTTGATTTTATTTTACACAGTGTGTGTTTCCAAAAGTAGTTCTTGAATCAGTTTGCATTTATTTCACATATCCAGCGGATGTTATGTCTCTGGCAGCCGCCATCATAGCGCGTCTTCCACGGATTATCGGCACTATAAACTGCAACTGCACAGTCTTCTCCTACATGGTAGTCATTTGGCTCCCCGTCTATCCAGTACCTTAAAAAATTTACAACAATCTTTAACGTTTTTTTTTATATAAAACTCAGGTAATAATTAAAATCCCCCACCTAGGCTCGACCTCTGTGACATTATTGATCCACTCCCATGTTCCTTCAACATTCATGTCAGTGAGGCCGATCCAGAATCCATTATTCCAGACATCAGTATTAATGAGTTTCATCATTTCAATGGTGTGACTCACAAACATCTGCGTAAGCACAAACATGCATTTTAAGTCCCACCTGCAGACATTTATTCCAGCATTTTGCAAATTTTTTCTTACTTATTTTTCTAACTCACCTGTTCCTGCTGATTATCAATCACAACAAGATCAGAACCACGTCTGATGCAGTCTGCTCTGCTGTCTCTCCAGGTCTTCTTCTCATACGGAGAAAAGTAGTAGCAGGATGAGTTGAAATGAGTCCACCCAGAAGAACATCTGCTACAAGATGTACCTGGAACAAAGAAATATGTTTGCGTCATCTTAACATATTCAAAAATTGTAATCATGAATTGCATTACACATCTGTCTGACCTAGAGCTGACAAGTTGGCCAGTAGGTTGGTATTCTCTGCTTGCAGAGCTTTAAGCTGTCTCTGGTAACCATCATTGATAAGATTCAGCTGATGAACTTGCTCCTTTACTTTTGTATAATTTTGCATTGTCCCTTCAGCTTCAATCCCAGTGCTCTGGTTGCTACAGAGATCGTTCAGCTTGCTGAACAGCTGTAAGGCTGCAGAGTGATAAACCTGAAGGGAGTCCTTTTTGATTTTGGCACCTGAAGAAATGAAAACACACTTGTAAAACAATTGGAGTGGGTCACAAACAATAAACTTGAAGATTGTCATTTATAAATTTGAGGTAAATAAAATTATATTCACAGCCAAGATAAGATTATAATGAAAGTTTTATTGTTTCAGATCTTTACAATTCATGAGGAAAAACCAAAAATTGTATTTTTATCTCTTCTAACTTTAAGGGATGTTGAAACATTTCTGCAAGAGGACTACAACAAAAATAAAAGTACATTTAGCAAATTGCTATAAATGAAATCCTGATGAACATTGTGAATGATACTTACAGTTTGCACTAAGAGCAACAGCAACTATGAGTAACACAACGTTCAGAAGTCCCAGACACAGATTAAGAACGTTGTAGTTTTCAAAACTGTATCCACCTGCAGTAATTAAGCATAAAATGTTGACTTTTGTTAAATTGTTCATGTAATTTTGAACAGTGGGTAGCTTACTTGCTTTATTTAAAATTAAATAGAAAAGAAAAAGCAATTTCTACAACATATTTGATTTTGCAAAGCCTTTGATGGGAATTTCTGTGAACTTTGGTTAAGAAAACAGGTCATACCTTGTCCAAATATTTTGTAGAGTCTGTGGCGGAATTCATTTGCTCGTTTGTATGTTTGCTCCATGACTGTGGTGTTGAAGGAACTGCTGAATAATCTGGTTGGTAACGTTTTTATACTCATGAGCGGAAGAACTCCATAAGGAATTTGTTCTCCTTTTATGTTTGGTCAGATGTTTTAATAATTTGACTGTTCAGAAGAACTGATGATTTTCTCATTGGCCTCATTTGACACATACTTTTTACAAGTTTGTTAGAATAGTTTTATTAATTTGTTTTACAGGTTTATAATAAGGCATCATTTTAAATTACTTTTCTACGAATAACCAGCACTTTGTTTATTTTTGTCAGGTAAAACAACTGGATTCCTGCTGACATAAATAAAAAAATGTGAATTTAAAAATGCCATAATTTGAACTACATTTTATGCAGATTTGAACATTTTGCGATTGTTTCCGGGTCAAAAGAAACTGGGGCAAACCATAGACTGTACATATACAAACTAGTCAAAATTGAACGGAAATCTTTGTAAACATGTTTGTAACTTGCATACTCAACTCATAAGTTTATTAAAACTATTAAACAGAGTAAACGTAACTACAAACTTCAGGATTTGGTAGCTGGAGCTGATCTTGGTGGCTAACTTGTTAGCTTAATAAAGCTAAATGTTGAATGGACCGAAAGTGTGCCCGGAAACAAACCCTACAACCTTTCAGAGTAAAGTGTATCACTTTGTGTGTGAATTGTAAACATTTGTTTTGAAAATCCAAAGAAAAGTTATCCAAGTAGAGTCCTTTCAAAGTTTCGTGCTTGATGTTTGTTTAACTACTGTACTTGTACAAATTTTGCTACGATACATGTTTGGTATTCCACGGCACATGTGCTTTAAGGAGTTTATTTTATAGTTTTTACGTAGCTTTATTTCTGGGGCACCATGTTACACGTGCGCGCGGTTTTATGCGAGGTTTTCCAAAAGTGTTTTCGCTAGGCCTCGTCGTGTTATTTCCATCACTGTGGGTCTGGTTAACAATTGTCGGCAGAAATGTCACTGGAGGACTATGAGAGACATTTTGACTCGCTGAATTCGGATTTGGGTGGCGGTGGGTCTGTTGTCAGTGAACGATCAAGTTCAGGCTTATTTGCTGGAGAAGAGGAGAAGTTGCATTACATTCCTATCCGGATCCTCGGGAGGGGGGCTTTTGGTGAAGCAACCCTGTACAGAAGGACAGAAGTAAGTTGGACCCATTTTAGACCCATAAATTTATATTTTTTTAAATCACAGATGACACAAAGTATATATTGTCCCACAATAAGTTTCCTGGTTGATTACAACCCTTCAAACACTTATTTTATAGTAATATACATTAAAGCTCATAAACAACTTGGGACATTTTCCTGGGGATGGTTTTCAGACATACAGTATTTTTGTATTTATACGTAGCTTTTGTGCAAATCAGCTTATTTTGATTGCACACATTGTGTACAATCCACGTTTGTTATATTGAAGAACATAAAACAATCTAAAGAAGCCTTGGAGCAGACATGTCCAATTGTGGCTCAGGGGCCGCTTGGGACCCCTGGAGTAATTTAGTGCGACCCCGTCAGCATTACCAAATTTTAGTTTCATTATCGTTGGTTTTGACTGGATCTTTGGTTGTTTGTTTAGTTTTACTATAATGAGGCCTTAAAACTAAAAAGTGACTTTTTTAAATGAAAGGAATTACATTTTTCTGATCTGCAAGGACTTTTAACTTGATAATTTTGGCCCATTACTTGACAACATTGGACACCCCTGACTTGTTTTGTCATGTTTATGTCAAAATAGAATATAAACAGCTCCTTTTCCATCCTTTAGATCTCTTTGCAGCTAAACTAAAATCCTCTGCTCATTTGTTGTCTGCACAACAGAGAAATACATTATTTTCAGTGAACATAGATATAAGTTATAACTGCATAGAAAGAACCATACAGTACCCAGGTCAAGACCAACGAACATCTACTCCACTAAAGGGTTTGTATTAGCCTGGCAACCTGTCCTATATATGTAAATATATATTCTGGCCACAACGACCCATAGACAGAGCTCAGTTACGAGGCACACGCTATGGCTGTCTTTCAATCTGTCTCTGCATGCAAGTGGAAAACGCTAGGACCAATCAGAGCAATGAACAATGTGATGCATTCATGGCAACTGAAATCAGATAATGTGGCAGTCTGCCACACACACTGTTGAATAAAAAGACGTACCTCTATCTGCTTATGCCTCAAAGAAAAGCCCCATTCTACATCATCCAGAGTTGATGCCAAAGCTGTTTTAATTGAGCGCCGTTCCTGGGCTGCTGCCATCTTTGTTGTTTTGCTCTGTTGTCATAAAAAAAAAGAGCTCTGCCGTCATGGTACTAAGCCCGCTCCAACATCTAGAGTGGGCTGGCCTAAATTTAGCTGAGCCAATGGTAGCCTTGCTGAGGCTACTATGTGCAGCTAGACCAACCAACTAGGCTAAATCTTCTGCTACTGCTACGGTTGGTCTAGATTTCTTGGCTAGGTCTGTTTGGTGGGCCGTCCAAAAACATTAGAGACAGAAAAGAACAATTTGTTTGAACCTTACTTGGTAATTTAGTATTCTGTCTAGGACAACTCTCTGGTCGTATGGAAAGAGGTGGACCTGAACTCGCTCTCAGAAAAGGAGCGTCGAGATGTCACGAACGAAATCAGCATCCTCTCCATGTTGGAGCACAACAACATCATCGCCTACTTCAATCACTTCATGGATAAAAACACTCTGCTCATTGAGTTGGAGTATTGCAATGGTAATTAATTGGTTTATTCTTGATGATCATCATGTGTAAACAAATGCTAACACAGGTTATAATTGCAGGAGGAAATCTGTATGATAAAATTGTTCAGCAGAAAGGGAAACTTTTCACTGAGGAGGTACGAGAGCATCCTTGTAGGTGTTTTATTGAAAACGCAACCTTTTTGATTGAAGTGAGTAATATTTCAAATGTTTCCGTAGCTTGTTGTTTGGTATCTGTACCAAATCGCCTCAGCAGTGGCACATATTCACAACGCCGGGGTCATACACAGGTACGATCTGTAAACTATGTGAATATTCTATGTTTTTCTTTTTTGTGAATAAATGGTCTTTTGTTCTTTTAGAGACATCAAAACTCAAAACATATTTCTGACCAAGACCAACCTCATTAAACTGGGCGACTACGGCCTCGCCAAGAAGCTAGGCTCTGAGTTTTCGATGGCAGAGACGGTACGTCCATCAGGATATTTTATGTGAGCAGAAATGACCCAGCATTGATCTCGACCTGTTCTTGTTTGGTCCAGTGTGTGGGAACTCCGTATTACATGTCCCCTGAAGTGTGCCAAGGCACAAAGTACAACTTCAAGTCTGACATTTGGGCAGTGGGCTGTGTACTTTATGAAGTTCTGACATTTAAAAGAACATTTGATGCAACGGTACGTCTAACTAGCGTCTCTTCTTTATTATGTCTATCATTACATCGGATCGTTCTTCCTCTGTGATGCATTTGTAGTTTGTTTCCACGTAGAATGCTCTGAACCTCTGTGTGAAAATAGTCCAAGGAAACTGGACTATGGAAGTGAACTCGGATCTTTATTCAAGTGAAATAATCAAGTTGATTTATGATTGCCTCAATCAAGTGAGTAGGAGAAATATCCGTTCTTGTTTTGGATAAATAAAACTGACTTACTTGAGAATGAGGGGATCTTTGTGTTGCAGGATCCTGCAAAGAGGCCCACAGCTGAGCAGATCCTGGATCAGCCATTCATCGCCTGTTGCCGACAGTAAGATTTTATAAAAGCGATTTTTAAAATTTTCTACTAGTAAACATGAATGACTCTGATTACTTTTGAACAGGGAGCTGGAAGAGCGAGTTGTCATGCTTAATTCTGCCATGAAGAAACCAAAGTAAGTTCACATCCACCATTTAAAGCCTCCCTGATATTGTGCGAGTTTGATGGCACTGGTTTGTTCCGTCTCATCCAAAGGCTGAGCACAGTGACTGAGACACCCGTTGCTGTGGTGACCACGCGCACAAGGGAGGTGTATTTTTGGGGAGGAGGAAAATTCACCCCCCAGAAGCTTGACTCGTTCAAAGGAGGCAGCAGTGCCCAGCATGTTTGTGCAGGAGAGAGTCACTTTGCTGTGGTGACTGTGGAAAAAGAGCTGTTTACCTGGGCTGTAAGGAGGAATTCCTCACTTTCTAACAGATCTACTGGTCTGTTTAATCTTTACTGATCTATTTTTTTTTTCTTTTTACACTTTTAGAATGTTCAAGGTGGAGCCAAGATGGTGGGCCAGCTGGGGCAGGGGGACCAGGCGTCCTACCGACAGCCGAAGAGGGTGGAGAAGCTCCAAGGGAAGGCGATACGTCAGGTGGCGTGTGGGGCCGACTTCACTGCCTGTGTGACAGGTGGGTTGAGAGAGCTTCGTGCTAAAACACGAACACGGGGAACTCTTCATTTACTATTCTGCTTCCTTCACAGACGAAGACCAGCTCTACATGTTTGGGTCAGACTATTACGGCTGCATCGGAGTCGAGGGCGAGATGGGGATGGAGGTCTTGGAGCCGGTGCTTCTAGAGTTTTTCGTGGAGCGGTGTGTCCGGCAGGTTTCCTGTGGAGACAACCACGTGGTGGTGCTGACTCATAATGATGGCATCTTCTCATGGGGTTGTGGAGAATACGGTAGGCTTCTGTGGTTTTGTTTGTTTGTTTGTGCTTTAATAACTTCAGCCACTAGGGGAAGAAAACACTCTTTCATAAAAGCATATGTAGATATTTGTCTTGCTTAATGTCATTACTTTTTATAATTTTTATCATAAAAAATCCTTAAAAGGTGCTACACGAACAAAACATCAGTATACAAATGAGAATTTTTATTCAAATCTTTATCCCATTTATTTCCTGCTGCAGGGCGTCTTGGCCTGGAGTGTGAGGACGACTTTTCTTCTCCGATGCAAGTAAGAGGAAGACAGTTTTAACTCGTCTTGTTTATTTTTTGTCCTGATTTAGTTTGATCTTATTTCATTTGAAAACCAGGTGGAAATCCCTAGAGGTGCCACCATCTCCTCTGTGTCATGTGGCTGTGATGGAACATTCTTTCTGACAGAGACCGGAAAAGTCTTAGCGTGTGGAAACAATGAATTCAACAAGCTGGGGTTGAACCAAGGGATCTCTGGTCTCAAAAACCACCCTGGAGAGGTAATGAGATGTATTTATAGGGCTGTAACACCAAAATCAAGATTACTCGGCTCTTCTAGTGATTCTTTTTTCTTATGAACACCAAAAAGGGTTACCAGGGAATACCGTACATCACCACACTCACTTTGGTGAAACAGTTGTCCCGCTTCAAGATCCAGGTCATCGCTCCTGGGAAGACCCACACCGCTGCCATTGATGGTACGGCCAAACACACCGGCTCATCTGACTACTTTGAATTCAGATTTTAAAACATTTATTTACCTTTGCAGAACGAGGTTGCCTGATCACCTTTGGTTGCAACAAGTACGGACAGCTGGGAATGAAGGACTTCAAGAGACACTATGGTGTCAAAGTTCTTGTTGGACAATTTGGAGGGAAGACGGTGACTAAGGTGTCTTGTGGAGATGGATTCACTATCGCAGCCACTGAGGGTGAGAACAGCATCTGTACCAACAGTCAGGTGCACTCTATTGAGATTTATAGCAACTTGTCATGCTTTTTTTTTCCAGATAATCATATCTTTGCATGGGGAAACGCAGGAAATGGGAGACTTGGGATGCCTGCGGATAAGGGATTCGGCTCAGAGGTTTGCCCTTCTCTGCCGAGGCCCATATTCGGCTCCCTCCACCATGTGCCGGACCTCTCTTGTCGTGGCTGGCACACAGTCATCATAATGGGTTGGTCCCCAGAAACCTGTTTACATGATTATAAAGTGACACCGGCTTTCCATCGGACACGTAACGTCCGCAAAGCAGCAGTGGACTCAGTGGTCTCCTTTAAAAAGCAGCTGAAGACTCACTTGTTCAAGCTGGCTTTTGTATGACCTTCTTCACCACCCTCTCTTTATTCTGCTCTCCCCACCTATTCCACCTTTCTCAGGATCCACTGATTTCCCTATTTCCTATTCACTCTTTCTTTACATTTTTAATTACAATTGTCTATTTTTTGCTCATTCTAAATATATTTTTAACCATTTTCTAAATTCATTTTTATATTTTTACATTTTTTGTTTTTGTGAAGCGCCTCGTGATTTTTATCTTGAGAGGCGCCATAGAAATGATATTTTCTTCTTCTCCAATTAGCCGCCATTATAATCAGTGGGTGAGTTTCCACCAGTTGTGACGCATCGTGTCCCAGAAGCGTACTGTCTAAGGATGTGTCTTGGCAGGAATCTGGTGATAGGATGTATATCACGATACAGGGAGATGATGCTAAAAGTCAGACGATATTTGCAATTTTTAAGATTGAATTTAATTGTAAAACTCAGGCCAGCCAAGAAACATCTGGCGTTATTGCAAGAGCTTGTCCTTCCATCAGGAGGAAGGCGGTAAAAACTGCTGCTACCTAGCTGTCAAGAGTTAGAATTGCACCACAGCAGTTTCTAAGTTCTTGTTAAAAAAATCAATAAAACGCTTTTAAATATAATTTCAGTATCACAAAATGATGCTTTTAGATGTTGGTGTATCAATATCTTCTTATATCACTGGTGGTGTCACATCGTTCTGCTAAATTTAAACTTAGAGTCTATTTTCTACACGCAACGCTCCAGAAAGCGTTAAGCCTAGCATTTCAGATTGGGCCAAACAGGAAGTCAAACACAGGAGCAGTGTAAAACATTTGGCAACTTTCAAAATAAAAGCGCAGATTTCCTGTTGCTTTTCTGGTATAAAAAAAATAATGTTAAGTGTGAAACTTCCATGACTGACGTAACAATAACAGAAAAAAAACCACAGACCTTTTGGACACACACTGCACTGTTTTTCCTTGCTTTGTTTGCGCATGTTCTGCAGTGATTTGTGACCAGCTATCTGAAACATTCCTGGTGGGAAGAGCGGAGCTCGTGGCTAAAACACGTCTAATAGGCACTGCTTACGCATCCGGTGGAAAGGCTGTGAAACATAAAAAAATAAATGATAGAAATTTTTCTTTTCTTTGTAGAAAAAATGCTGAATTCAAAGACCATCCGCTCAAACAGCAGTGGAATATCCATTGGTAAAAGCTTGTTGTAGCTTCAAATTTTGAGGAATTGGTTAATTTGCAACACCTGGTGACCATATTTCGTGTGTGTGTGTGTGTGTGTGTGTGTGTGTGTGTGTGTGTGTGTGTGTGTGTGTGTGTGTGTGTGTGTGTGTGTGTGTGTGTGTGTGTGTGTGTGTGTGTGTGTGTGTGTGTGTGTAAGGGTTTGGCCAGGAGGCCTCTACAACGATGGTGGATCTGGAAATCGAGCCTGGATTGGAGACTGGCTCTCATGACAGTAGTCTCGGGGGCACGCGGGAGGTCAACACAGAGGAAGGACTCATGAATTCAGAAATGATGTCATTTGGAAATCAGACTGGGGACAGCTCATGCCCTCTGTGGCTGAAAAAGGTTTGCTACCTGGAAAGCGTTAAGCACGAGGGGAGGAAAGTTGCCGGTTTGCTTTAATTCAGAGAAATTTGTCTGCCAGGAGTTAGAGGATGCAGAATACATCCCGATGCCCGAGGAGTCGGAACAATCCTCTAACAATCAGCTCTCCTCTGTTTCTGAGAGCATCACTCTGCCATACGAGGAGCTGAAAGGACTGAAGGCAGCAGCGGCGGCGGTCAGCAGCAGAACAGACTTATCGGTAACACGTTTTCACCATGCTGCTCTCTCTACTGTGCACTATTACCAAAATATATCCCTAGTTGCCGTTTACTCTGTTGGCTCTGCAGACTACACGAATGAGCAGTGATAAAATCGGCAGACTGGATGACGTTTTCCTAGAAGAAGAAAGTGGTGCTTGCTGCAGGGCAAACAACGAGGTGGCTGAGGTAACAACCACTTACTCTACCTGTAAATCATATTAGCGCGTGTTAGAGTTTGAGTAACAATTCAACCGTTTTTGCAGCTGAAAGAAACAATTGCGCGTCAAGAGACGAGGATCGAGATGCTAGAGAAGCAGGTAATGTTCTTTACACTCCTAAAATTTATTTTCCTCAGAGCGGATGTTGATCAGTGTGCATGAGCAACAAGAATCCAATTCCTTGTTTTTTTTTTTAGGTCAAAGAGCAGCACCAGGAGAATGAGAGGCTTTGGCTCGCAATTAATCATTTAAAACTTCAAGAAGCGGGACATGATGGTAACAGAAGTCATCACTCTAATCGCATGCCTGGTGACAGAGGAGGAGGAGAGAGAAGACTGACCAATCACAGCGGCCGATCTGCCGGCGCCAGTGTGTGAGATTAAAACCCTGGAGACGTTCTGGTCCAGAGTTTTTACATGTTATGGTTACATGCTATTGCATATGCAACATGCGTCACACTTGTTTTTTCAGCGGGGTGCCATTACCGAGCTAGTTTCTGCAGACTGAAACGTTGGCTGGATTCAGCTTCAACCACCCAAATCTGCTGGAGGCAATCTGACCACAGTGTTACGCTTCTGTGTGAACATTAGGACTGGTTTCTCAGACATTAGTATTTATTACACAGCAGCCGTTACATCATCATGTAAATAGGACGCAGTTTCCTGGAAACACGAGATGACGAGCAACTAACCTGTTTGCATCGTTGATGTGAACACATAGTTCTCTTATGCATCGCTTTTATTATTACAAATAATATCTTGAAGTGCCAAATACATCATAACAGCTTTTTAAAGCGATATATTTATCAAGCATATTACTTGTGACAGTTTGAATAATTATACATAAAGATATTTATATGTATTTTTCAAGTTTGCATGTCTTAAGAAAACTTAAGAAAAACAAAACTACTTAATTTTTTGTATTAAGTATTTTCCCCTCATTTTATTTGTTGTGACACACAAACACTTGAACTGTTTTTCCTTCTTTTCTGCATTTTAATCCTTTATTTCTCTTTTGCATTGTATGTATGAACATATTTTCATTTTATTTTTGAATTTGGTTGACATCCTGAGTTTTTTTTTATTCAACGACACCATCTAGAGGTCGGCAAATGTGTTGCACCTTAAACCGTTCTCACCACTTCCACATTTACGGCCTAAAGCAGCGCCTCTCATTAGCGAACGCGCGCCTCTAGCTGGCGAGCAGCACTAAAACACATTGATATATGTATATGTGTGTGTGTGTGTGTGTGTGTGTGTGTGTGTGTGTGTGTGTGTGTGTGTGTGTGTGTGTGTATCAGGGATGTGTATTTTTGAAATTCTGGCAATACGATACACATCACGATACAGGGGAGACGATACGATATATCACGATATATTGCGATACATTCAGTCAGACGTTACAAACAATTTATTTTACTGAATTTATTGTAAGAATGTTCAGTAAACAGTCCAAACTGATACGTAACATGTTTAACATGAGGTATCTGAACCATGAGGGAGGGATTTACATTTCAATGGTGGAAACAAAACTCGTTGCACACTGCTGCCAACTAGCGGGTGGCGATTGAATTGCACAAAACGAAAAGAAAATACACAAATGTTTGCATGTAAATTCTTTCAAGAAATTGATACACGGCTTTTGAATATCGATGTAATAATTACAGGGAAAAAATCACGATATATTGCCATATCAATATTTACAATACACGGCTTTTGAATATCGATATAATATTGCTGGAAAAAATATCACGATATATTGCCATATCGATATTTTCTTACATCCCTAGTATATATATATATGTATATATATATATATATATATATATATATGTGTGTGTATATATATATGTATATACACACACATATATATATATATATATATATATATATGTGTGTGTGTATATATATATATATGTATATATATATATATATATATGTATGTATGTATGTATGTGTTTTAGTGCTGCTTTTTTTTTAAGAATCACTTGTCCATGACAGAAGTCGCCAACTCTGCATCAGTCTACGTACATGATCAAGCTCTCTATGATGGTGTCTAATGCTACTGGCTAATCCTGAATGGCGGTCAGTTCGACCTCCATGGGGCTCTGAGGGATGGGCTTAACAAATAAATAAATTAACATGTTGCCTACATTATATCACTGTACAGGGTAAGACGATCAATTTAATGGATTTCTAAAAAGATCACTTAAATGAGGAAAACTGCAGATTGTCGCTTTAAAGCATGTATATTTACAGTATTTACATCATACTCATTCAGATGTTCAGAGTTTTTCAGCTGTTTGCAGTGTAATAACTTTAAAATCTACTGGGTGGTTTCATCGTTGCTTTGGGCTACAGTTTTTTGTGTCTTTAACTACCTAATTTTTTCACCATTTCACTAAAACAAGCATCACATCACAAGTAAACTGCCCGTTAAAATAAATAAGTTGCAGTTTTTATCCTTGGGTCAATGCATGAAAAACCTTCTTTGAAACTTCGTTTTCTTTGTACGTTCAGTACTTTCAGCACCTTACCTCATAAGGGACGTGTGTTCTTGCAGTTTCTTTTTAAAACCAGATCACTTTCTTTATCAGTATGTGTAATGTCGATGGTAACAGATCAGACTCGGTGGCTGCAGTGTAATATTTCTGATCAATAAACTGCAGCAGTTGTTTATTGCGCATTGTTTTTTTAATTGTTTGTAATAACTTTTAAAAAGTGTGGTCATATTTTGAAATTGTATCATCTCTGTTCATTTTCACTTCATGGTTTTACGTTTTGTGTGTAAAACCAGAAATAAAACAATCATATGTCTGTATGTGAGTGTCTGTCAACTGATGCAAACAATAACCCACCTTGCCTGCTGGTGGTGGTCGGAGGGACCGGTGGCGCCTGTACTCGGCAGCTTCGCCTCTGTCAGCGCCCCAGGGCAGCTGTGGCTACATCGTAGCTCATCCCCACCAGTGTGTGTGAATGGATGAATGACACACTAGTGTAAAGCGCTTTGGAGTCCTTATTCTGAGAGGCGCTATACAAGTGCGGGTCATTTTGTCATGCTGATGACACCGTCATTTATGTGTCCACAAAAACACCTGGCCTGGCAGGAGAGCGCCTGACGCAGGCTTTATCAGACATCTCAGAATGGCTAGAGTCATCCCACCTAACTCTTAATGTTAAAAAAACTGTGTCCATATGCTTCTCCATGAGAAACAGGCCTGACCAGGAACTATTTCAGGTTAGGATTAAAGAGGAAATCATTGAAGTAAGGAGTGATGTGAAGTACCTTGGGATCATCCTAGACAATCACTTAAAATTTGACAGTCAGGTTAAGCACGTCTGTAATAAGGTTAATACAAATTTAAACTGCTTCTGTTTTATCAGAAGGAACCTGTCACACCAAACTACTAAACTGTACATGCATGCACTGATCTTTCCCCACGTATCATATTGCATTACATCATGGTCACAGGCTTCATCCACCACTCTAAAACCTATAGTCTTAATATACAAGCAAGCAATAAAAATTATGGACCAGAAATCATTGAAATGGCATCATTGTCGCATTTTAAGGAAACATAATCTTCTCACTTTTGAAAATTTTATTAATTTTAGCACTCTAAGATTCTTTTTCAATTGTCTAAATGATAACTTGTCTAAACTGTTCTCTACTGTGGCCATCAGACGTCAGAGCTCTCATAGAACAATCACTCGAGCCTCCACCTGCGGCGATTGTCTCGTCCCGCGGTGCAAGACTTCTTTCGGTCAGTCTGCTCTTTCTGTAAAGGGGGCCAAACTTCGGAACTCGCTACCTGCTGACCTAAAACTAGAAACGGACAGTAAAGTTTTTAACAAAGAACTCAAAAAATGGTTAAAGTCTAAACAACAATGCCTACATGAATAGTTTTAAAGTCTTACATTGCTGCTCAAATTGCCTTGTTTTATTATTTTTATTCTTTTTTATTGAAAATTGTTTGCAATTTTTATCTGTTTTCTGTTTGATTTATTGTTGATCTCTTTGTATTTTATTTAAATGTACTGTACTTTTTAGAAAGGTTCTATGGACAAGTGTTGCAAATTAGCACGTGTGCTAACACACAAAACAATGCATCTGGTTCGTCCAATGTAATTGCTGTGTCCATGTCAAGTAAACATCTCACACACACACACACACACACACACACACACATATATATATATATATATATATATATATATACATATAATTTATCTTCTATACCATGGATGAAGATCCACCAGCCAGGAGCCCATCCTCATAAATTATGTGTTCTTCCAGTTTCTTTTTTTCTTCAAAACCTAATCAAAACATATATTTTTTACCCCAAAGTTTTATTTTAACACAACGTTAAAAGCCATCAATAATCCAACAATGTGATTTAGAAGCCTTACCTCTGGAGTTTTGTTTCTAACGTGAGTTTTTAGGTATTTCTCCAGCTGTGATCCTTTGGACCTCTGGGTAGAAGAGTTGAAGACTGGACGGTGCTTTAGATTCACCTTCGCACAGATCTGAACGTGATTCTCCAGTCTTTCACTTCGAAACATGCGGTTGCAGATGTTGCAGGGAAGATGCTGGAAGCTGCCTGCTGCAGCATCAATGAGTTCGGGCTCGGCCTGCTGCTGCAGGCTGCTATGCAAAGGAAGGCGCGGGAGAATTGTGCTTCTCTGGTTTGCTAGGGCCTGTTTAGGTTTCTGTACAATTTTCTCAGGCGTATTTTGTTTATCACCTTTATCACTGTGCATGCTTTCTTTGTATTCCTTTTCTCTTGTCCAGTTTGTATTTCTTTGAGATGCCTCATTTAGCTTTCTGTATCTTTCATCCATTTCTTCCCAATCATAAATCTTTCCGTCTCTTCTAAAGGGCTCGCTCTGTAATGTTCCTTTTCTTGGTACTCCTGTTTCGTGTTTGCTGACATCCCATCTGAACTGCTGTACTTGATATTTATTCCCAAATCCATCTTCAGTCATCTGATCTTGTGTTTTCCTCTGCTTTAAATCATAAAAGCTTTCATCTAACAACACGTCTCTGCTGTAGAGTAGCTCTCTCCTTTGATGCTCAGACACCATGGGTTTCCTATGACCTTCTCCCCAGTCAGCCGGTCCAACATCATGCTTTCCATCTCCTCTCTTGTGATCGTGACCTGCAGTAGTATCAGAGCTACTGATTTGGATTGCTTTTACTTTTTCTCCTACCTTCCAGAGCTTCTCCAGCAGAAGTAGCTCATTTTCCTGGATTGCTCTGTTCATCAGCTGCTCCTCGCTGGGCAGTTCAGAAGGCAGGGGTCTGGTTTCTCTAATGCCAGCTGAATGGTACTCTTGATGCATCACATGACCTCTTTGCTGTGTTGAAGGTGTGATTTTCTCAAATTCGTGCAAACCAAATAAAACTTGTGTTTGAGTTTGTCTTCTGTGAGGCACAGGCTTGATTGGAAATGGCTCCTCCACTTGATCTTTCTTTTTACTGGACACAGTCCCACACTGTAAGTGAGTATGGACACGTGTTCTTCCTGCAGTGCGAGACTCCTGTGTTCCAGTGGGCATCATGATGGCGCAGTCGGTAAACACTAACATAATAGGTTACAAGAAAACTAATGTCAAAAAGCAGAACTGTTTAAAAAGCATAAATGTAAAAGCTAGTGTTGACTTACCAATAAAAGCACTTTGTCAGTTTTGATAACTTTAGCAAAAGGAAATTAAATACCACGGTTGTTCGTTTGGTTTGTCCTTCACAAATAACGTAAAGAGTATCATTTACCCGAGTTGACGTTTGTTGCCTAGTAACTGACGTTTTCCCCATCGGTTTTCCTTGATTGGTCTACCAAACGTCACTTCCTGCGTCTGAGTCCCGGATGTTTCAAAACTCATCTGTCGGAGCTAGTATTTGGTTTCACGGCTTCCGAGCTTCTGTAAGGTGAATTACAAAACACGAGCAGTGTTGTGTTTTCATGGTATCAAAATAAAGTGGTTGATACATTATGAAACGTAAATAACACTGTTAGCACAGCTTTCTATGTCCGTAAATTAGCCAAGTAGCTCATGTGATGATGTAGGATGCTAGCATCATCACTCAAAACTAATTTTCTCCCTTTTATAGGTTCGTTATGTCCAGTGAAGAGCTCATTTCTGTGGATTATGAAATTTTTGGAAGAGTCCAAGGTGTATTTTTTCGGAAATACACTCAAGTGAGTTTGACATTGCAAAACGCTTTTATTTTGATAGGGTGTTAAAATAAAACTAATTTGCCTTTATTTATTATAATTTTTTTTACAATGATCTTATTTTTTATGAGCCTCAAATACAAATTGATAAATAATTTAATGCCTGAATGAATAAAAAACAATTTAGATTTTTGTAGATTTGTTTGATTCCTTTTATCATTTAATTTGCCAGTAGTATAATTTATTTATTCAATATTCAAAAGTGCCACGAGTTCTATAAATATGCCAGATTCTTTGTATTGCTTTGCTCACATCTTTCCTACATCTTTTGTATCTTCCTATATAAATATTTTTTTCCAGGCTGAGGGGAAGAAAATTGGCCTGGTTGGTTGGGTCCAAAACACACCAGCAGGAACCGTTCAGGGTCAGCTACAAGGACAACGCAGTAAAGTCAAACAAATGCAAGAATGGCTAACATCAACTGGGAGCCCCAAATCACACATCACCAAGGCCGAGTTCAAGAATGAGAAAGTAGTTGACAGGCTGGAACACTCATCCTTTAATGTTGTAAAATAAATTAAGCTATTGTCTGTACTTGTAATATTAAAATGTAAGCTTTTATTTTTATTTATTTAGTTTTAACAATCTGTATTAAAAAATATTAGTGATTTGTTCACTGTGTACACTCATGATTGTCCTAATAAATGTAAGTTCTCCAAAACATTTCATAGTGTTTGAATTTGATTTATTTGCCCTGTGTGTGTGTGTGTGTGTGTTTGTGTGGGGGGGGGGGGGGGGGGGGGGGGGCAATTACTAAATATTCATCTCATAGCAGATAGCTCAAGTTTTCATAAAACATTTATAAATTATTTCAATTTAGCTGTTGAATTTTCATGCAGACTCAATATGATGTTGCCATTTCTTATTGTCAGTCATACAGTTGAAATTAATTATTAGTGACACCATTGCATGTTTCAGTGACAAGTATTTTTAAAAGGTCTGTTGAGTTTCCATACTTGGTTGAGGCAAAGCAAGGCATTCAGTGGGAACAACTTACTTAAACAGATATTTAGCATTTGTAATGTGTCTCCTAACCCGTGAAGGATCTTCATCTGTACAGCTATGCAGTTTTCCAGAAGGTAAAAGTTGTAGATGCTTGTATTAAATTGAACAAACTTGATGGCATTAGCAGGCTGACTTCAGTTTCAAGTAGGAATTTTGTATTGTTAACTAAATTAAAACTAGATAACGCTTATAACATACGGTTATTTTATTTTCAGAAAAATATGTGTTTAAACATTCCATCCAACATACAAAAATCTGACATCTCAAGGTTCAAAACCAAGAAGTGCCGAGATTTCCATATCACTTGAACGCAGCAGACCATTACGTCAGAGCACGGTTTGGTTGCGTGAGTTTGGATCGCTTGTGTGATTGGTCAATTAAAAGAATTGCGCTAATCTGTTACTCACCAGCACGGGGCAGTGTTACCTTTTGCCAATAGCTAAAAGTGAAAACGGTCACTTCTTTTTTGCAACTCGTTTCCTGTAAACAGCTGATTTAATGTTGTCTAACAAACTATTTTAACGTGTTTCGGTTAATTCGGACTTTCGTTTCATTTGACAGAACACGTTATCTTGCATGTCGCAGGTAGCAACGATGACTTTTTAAAAGCGTTTTCTATTTACTACAGAAAATGTGACCAAATGTAAAAACAAGCGAGGGCAGCATGATCAAGAGTTTGCCCAAAGAGGTTAGAGAGAAACTTCGTTCCGGTGTCGCCATTCCGTCGCTGCAGCAGTGCGTGGAGGAGCTCATCCTGAACAGCATCGATGCCGGTGCGACCTGTGTGGGCGTCCGGATGGACATGGAAGCATTTAAAGTTCAGGTGATCGACAACGGCTCTGGGATAACTGCCGAGGACCTGGAGTGTATTGGGAATCGATACTGCACAAGCAAGTGCAGCTCTGTTGAAGACCTGGACAACCTGAGATGGTATGGTTTCAGAGGAGAAGCCTTGGCAAGTTTAGTATCTTTAGCCACACTTGTTGAAATCTCATCCAGGACCAGGCTGTCGGTAAAAACACACGTCAAACTATTCAAGGATGGCAAGGGCTTGGATGTCTTTGAAGCTGAGACTGTTCGACCATCCGCGGGGACAACTGTTGTCATTTGTAACTTCTTTTACAACATGCCAGTCCGGAGGAAGAGGGTTGATGGTGTCCTGGAGGGTGAGCGGATCAGACACAGGGTCGAAGCCATTTCTTTAATGCATCCTTCTGTGTCCTTTACCCTGAAGAATGACTGCACGGGCACCATGATGGTGCAGCTTCCCAAAGCCAGAAACACCTACCACAGGTTTGTTCAGATACACAGCCTTGCACGGGCAGAGAAACTGGCAGAAGTCAGCTACACACACAAGCAGTTTGAAGTGGGTGGTTATATTGGCAAAGAAGGCCACTACAATAACAGTTTACAGTACTTGTACGTGAATGACAGGCTGCTGTTGAAAACCCACATCCACAAGCTGCTTAACTTCCTCCTACGCAGATTGAGCAGCTCAAACCAGAAGAATGAAGCTCCTGATGGAACTTCTGTCCTTCGGAGTCCAAAGCATAAACGAAACCATGAGCAAAACGGAGTATACATCATTAATATCAAATGTTCCTACTCGGAGTATGACATTTGTCTTGAGCCTGCCAAAACTCTGATAGAGTTCAAAGACTGGGATGGTGTTTTGCTTTGTGTCGAAGAAGCAGTCAAAGCTTTTCTGAAGCGGGAGAACTTGGTGTCTTCTCAGGATGACTTGGACTGTGTGTCTTCAGAAGTCTGTGTTCCTGACAAAACGGAAAATCAAAGTATCAAAGCTGGCCAAGCGGCTCCTGGTACTTCCAGCACTGACTGTGGCATAGAAATGAAGCTGGCGTCGGTATCTGTTCATCGCAAAAGTGCAGACGACGGTGTTTGCCGTGAGTCTGGTCTGATGGAGCGCAGAGCCGATGAGGCGGATCAACTTGAGCAGGAAGGAACATCTGTTCACGAATCTCAGAGGACTCTGCAGTGTGATCTAAAGTCTGCATCTCCAAATGCACACGATGAAGAGGAGCTAACTTTCAGTCAGTCTGGTGAAGGCTCTGGAACTGCACAAACGCCAGATAGTCAAGAATGTGCGCTCTTGCAGGAAAAAGAGACACAGTTGATTGATAAAACCGCAACCTGCGAGACAAATTCAAGACGCAGCTTCGTACGTGCTGTTCAGTCTGATTTAGACTGCAGTAAGGAAAAGATGCAATCTCCAGATGGACATGAACAAAGTTTTGTAAGTGACAGGAAGATCGGTTTGTCTGATCCATACATTCACAAAAGTCTGCAGATCCGGGACCACTTCCAAACTAATTACAACGAACGAACCTCAAAACGCAAAAACACTCTGGAAGCGGATAACAACGGAGCTTCTCAGAAACTATACGTTCCCTTTAAGATTCCCAGAATCCTCTCTTGCCAGAAACTGTCAACATCTCGGGAGCTTGGATCGCTCGACAAGTTCAGACGAACGTTTGTTAAACATTCTGAACTGAAGTTACTTCATCCTCGTTTACAGAATTATGGTGAACGTCCTCCCATTAACAGTTTCGCTAACAATCCAGAGACTATATCTGTTTGTGAGGACAATCGAGCCACGGGAACAAGGGAGGAAGAGAGGACACCGAACAGCTCCCAAAGACCGCTGACCCTCTCAGACGTCAAAGATCAGAGAAAAGGTCAAATGTCATTAACGGCTAAACTTTGCAATTTGAAGCAACAAAAGACAGAAAATGTCTCCCGGCACGTTTATAATGATGAACTTGAGCAGAGACATGATAATCAGTGTTCCCAGGACCCTGAAGATCAAGTTGACCCAGGGTTGGACAGTTGTAATAATCCTCAAATGAACCAAAAGGAGGAAGATCACTGGCTTCATCACTACGACGCATCTATTGGAAAGATTGTTTATGTCAACAGGATGACCGGCCTCAGCAGATATGAAGACCCGGCTGTGCAGGAAACTCAAGTACGCTGCACATCTGACGTCACCAACATGGCGGTCAGCGTCATCTCTGAGATGGGTGAGGTGGCGAATGCACTTGCATATAAATCCTTAAAACTGCTCCGTTTGTTTGCAGAAAGTGTCATTACTTGTGTGAACTTTCTTCTAGGGGTGGAGTACAGGTGTTACCCATTTCAGGTGGATTCAGTTTTGCCTTTCCTGCCTAAATCCAGGCCAGAAAGAGTGATTAGCGCAGGGACTGACAGTAGAGGTACCTCATCGTCACAACAGATTGTTCGCTGTTAGGGCTTCACATCAAAATGAGACGTGTGCTCTTGTTTTCACAGATGATGCTGGTGACCACTCCAACTCCCTTTCTTCTTTGTACTCCAAATGGAAGAACCCCGTGTTTGTTCTGCCTCCTGCAGTAAGCACAACCTTACCTTTGAGACCGCAGCAGCGATTTAAATCCACGTACTGCTTGCTTAACGCATCTGTGCTGTCAGGTGGGCGTGGACATTTCCAGCAGACAAGCTGAAGGGCTGGCTGTGAAGATCCACAACATCCTTTTTCCGTATCGTTTTTCTAAAGCCATGATTCACTCGATGAAGGCAAGTATTTCATTCATAATAACACATCGCCTCCTTAGGGTTTTTGCTTTAACTAAAATAAAATGATAAAGCTTGTAAAATGACCTTGTAGGTGATCCATCAAGTGGATGCAAAGTTTCTTGCGTGCCTCATCAACACCAGAGATGGAGATTCCGCTGCAGGCTGTGAGACTGAAGGTATACAGATGTGCGGTAAAGCTTTGATTTCAGATTTGTTTTTCTAATTTTACAAATGATTTCTCTGAATTCACAGGAAACCTTTTGGTACTGGTGGACCAGCATGCAGCTCACGAGAGGGTTCGACTTGAACATTTAGTTGCTGGTAAAAAGGGTCATGCTCAGAGTTTGGATATAATTAGATATTTATTAAAATATTAATCATTAGATGTGAAATCTTGTTTCATTACAGATTCATATGAGGAGGACCCTGATGTTCACGGGGAGAGACGTCTGTGCTCATCCACTATTTTGCCGCCTCTGAAGATCAGCATAACCGAGGAGGAGCTGCGACTCCTCAGGTGTGTCATCACCTGAGTGATGCATATGCTATAAATGTAATTAGCATTAGCTAATGGTAGTTTTTAGCAATTCGCTAAAACATCCGATCTAGTCAACAGTAATTAGACGTTTGAAAATATACCAACTTTGACTGTTTGGGAATTTTTTGACCTGCAGGTCTTGTCAGCAGCGTCATCTGAGGAGTTTGGGTCTGGAAGTTTCTTTCTCTGAGACGGCAGCTCCTCACGTGTTTGTGGGGATGGTTCCACTTTGCTTTATGGAAAAAGAGAGTAACGAGCTTCGGCGGGGGCGATCGTCGGTCATCAAGCCTATTGTTGAGGTGAGACATCGCAGTAGAGCAGACGGATCTCTGGAAATGTTTGCAGGAGTTTCCACAGGTGTGACCAAGTCACTGCTTTGCAAGTCACAAGTAAGTAACAAGTCTTTCTAGTCAAGTCTCGAGTCAAGTCCAAGTCAAAGACGACCATATCCAAGTCGAGCCCAAAGTCAATGATGTGCAAGTCCAAGTCAAGTCCAAATCCTTAACTTTGAATTTTCAAGTCATATTCAAGTCATCTGTCTAACATCAATTTAATGGCAATGATAATAAATAATTTCCAGAAATAAAGCTTCTTAAAGCTTCATTTATGTGTTCAAAGAGCAGAAAGAGCAACAGAAGCTGATTATAAACAATGAGCTGCTGCAGTTAGCAGAACAAGATCAAACCCAGAACCAAGAATGATTCATGATTTTTGTCCACGTCGGGCCACTTTTGTGCTAAAATATCAAATATGCTCAAGTCATCATCAAGTCAACAGATGCAAATCGATTCAAGTTGCAAGTCATTGGCGTTCAAGTCCAAGTCAAGTCGTAAGTCTTTATAGATTTTATCAAGTCAAGTCAGAAGTCATTAAAATAATGACTCGAGTCTGACTCGTGTCCAAGTCATGTGACTCGAGTCCACACCTCTGGGAGTTTCCCTCTTCATTTATGAGCAGTGTTGGGAATGTTACTTTTAATAAGTAATTACTTACAGTTCCTGATTACTTTGTCAAAAAGGTAACTCAGTTACTTACCTAGTTACAAGATTATAAAAGTAACTAATTAACAAGAAAAATTACTTTTTTGTTACTTTTTTCATCGAAGAATGCTAGAAAAATGGGTTCCCCTCTTAATTCAAATTAATTTACTATAAATTACAACAATACTGAAATATAAATGACTAATGACTGGAACATAATAAAAAGTATGTACAATGTAAAAAATTTAAAAATGTAAAAAAACTGAATTATTGAAATAAATGTGCACATAACAGTAGGAACTGCAACCAGGAGCATCACACTAATCTAGACTATTAAAATGTCACTGTGTGATATTTAACAAAACCCCAATCGGCTAAAATCTATAATTGCAAATAGAAACACCTGTAAAGGTTCCTGAGCCTTTAAATGGTCTCTCAGTCTAGTTAAATTACTGAAATTAATGTAGTTTTGCACAGTATTCTAATTTTTCCAGCTTCACATAATTGTGTGTTTTTAGTAGCATTTCTGTTGCTGGCAATCTAGTAATGGCTAAATAAATAAATAAAAATCCTTTAAAATGACACTAGAAGAGACACAAATCTGATGGAGGACTTAACTTTACTAACTTAAACACAGAAGAACTGAAGCTGGGTGGTAAACACACACAGGTAGTTCTAATAACACCTGAGCACCATGATGTTTGCGACTGATGCATCAGTGCTACAGCGGGACTAAAGACATGATCACATGATCAGAAACGGGTTACAGGTGGATGATCTAGGAAGGTAGAAGATCAGGACGTTTGAGCGGTGAGCAGGTGAGCAGACCTTCGGGACTTCCCGCTGTCACGCCAAGAAGGGCACGGCTGCAGATCCACGCCTGCTGCAGTGAATCTGCAGGTCTGCAGCTGTAACTATTCATCACGTCTTCCTCGATCTTCACAGGCCGTGATGCACTTGAATGAAAACATCCGCCTCTTTAGCTCCTGATCAGCTAATGACAGCTTCAACTAACCGCGCTGCTGAATTAGGAACACACGCATTTTCTTATCAGTAAGGGAAACAGCGTTATGATAAAAGAAGACGGTAATTAATTCGATTACTCATTACTGAAAAAACTTTTTTTTTGTAACACCGTTATTTTAAATGGCGTAATTCCCATCACTGCTTATGAGTGGTCACTTTCAGAGTTGTCCAGATGCAAACAGAAAAGTCACCTTAAAACAGATCTGGCACCAATAGAACAAGCCATCTCTTTTCCTCTTTCACATTGAGCATTTTTGCACATAACGCTTGTTGTATTATTCAGTGGTGATGGAGAAAGTCCGGGAAAGCTTTGTCATCCCTGCACTTGACATCCGCAGGTGCTCTGTCTGTGGTGATGGACACCAATGTGCATGCTGGGAGCTGGGTTTTGGATGCATTAAACGAATGGCTTCTGCCCTGGGTTTTAATGGCCGCCTGCTGTCAGCGCTCTTGGATGGGAGAGGAGCCCACAGCAGCACCGCTGTGCGTTGAAGAGTTAGGAGCTGTGTGCTTCATGTCAGAGTCTGCAAAGTCCCCAATAACATCCAGAAAAGTCTTGTTTATGTTTTTGTTTTGTTTTTATGTTTTTATTCATTTAGCAGACGCTTTTATCCAAAGCGGCTCACAATTTATAACCTATAGGGCATGTTGCGATCTGTGGGGGGAACCGGAGTACCCGGAGGAAACCCACGCATGCATGGGGAGAACACGTAACTCCACGCAGAAAGGCCGCAGCCGAGTTTCGAACCTGCAACCTTCGTGCTGCGAGTTAACAGTGCTAACCACTGCGCCACCATGCACCATCACCACAGACGGAGCACCTGCTGATGGTTATGTCGCTGGTCGCTTTTTTGAGAATACAAACTAAATGTAGCAGCAAAATCCCTGATTTGGCGATCCTGCACCGTTTTAAATCTGCGCAGTGACCTATGTGTCAGAAAAGGTCGGATGTCTGACACTACCCTTGGATCTACGTCCTGGGCGCCCCTGGACTAGAGGCAGCTTATTTCATCTCAGATTTTTATGAATGAGGGTTTTATTGTTGTTTTATTATTGTCTGTCAACCTTTTGGTTTTTCTCTCCCCAGGAATATCTTCGAGAACAGATTGAGGTAAAACAAACCACATGTTGCCGTCTCCTAAATGAAAAACTCATTTCAGGTGTGCAGTTCCTCTCATTCTCTCGTTTTAGCTTCTTCGCTCTGCAGGCAGAGTAAAAGGAACGTTGCCTCTCACCGTTCTCAAAGTGCTTGCTTCACTAGCGTGCCACGGTGACTATGCGTTTCCTTTTCTTAACCTTGAGTTTGTTTTCTCCATGAGCCTTCAGCCTTTTTACTTGCTATCTTTGAACGTACACACACTAAACAGGGGCCATCAAATTCAACGACACTCTGAGCAGAGATGAATGTTGCAGCTTGGTAACGTCCTTATCTTCATGCCAGCTGCCGTTCCAGTGCGCCCACGGCCGTCCCTCCATCGTTCCGTTGGTGGATATCCTCCATTTGGACAACGACCAGAAGGTATTAGAAAATCTGAACTTTGCTCCTAAAGATTAGAAATGAATCTAATAATACTCGAGCATTCTTGTTCTTGCAGGATGTCCACAAACCCAACCTGAAAAAGCTGAGAAGAATGTATAAAGCGTGGAAGTTGTATGGAAATAATTAAAACGAATGTGTGCTTTTAACGTTCCACGTGGTTCTCTGTGAAAATAACAAATCCTAACTCGTACATCAGCCAGATTATTCTAAAGTTTTAAAAAGGAAGCATTTTTTTAAAACAACCAACCTGTATCACTCATTAAAAATGCAATTTTGCTAAAACAAACAGAAAAAAGTGGATTTCATTGTGATCCATCATCTGAAATAAGTCTCATAGTGATGAAGTGCTGAGAAGCAGCTGTGTGTTGGCGGGGTCTGTTTGCAAAAGAGGAAGAATTTTACGGTGGCATTTTGGCAACCTTAGCTGCTGTTTTTTACAGTGTAGGTCAATTATAATTTTAAAAAAATCATATTTTTATCGGTTAAAAGGTGAGTTATTTCTAATAAAAGAGAAATTTGGTTTAGAAGAGAGTCAAGCCCACGTTCGGCCATTTGTTATTAGAAACTTGTTCTAACTCTGCTAAAGGAAATAAATATTTCTCATTTCCCCCTGACGCAATTAAACACATCACAAATATAAACACAAGAAGCCCTGGTTTAACACATCCTCAGCTTTCACTTTGTTTCAGATTCCTTTTCTCATCCACGTTTCTGCTGCTTCCGGGCAGCTGTTCTGGGAGGAGAGGATGCTGATGATGATCGGCTCTCCCTCCTCCTCTCTTCTTGTCTCCTTCCTCCACACTTCCGGGTCATGCCACGTGACTTCACCACCCCCACAAGTCTGGGGTTCGTGATGGAGAAATGGGGCAGAAAAGTGGGAGGGACGCCACAGTGCGATTGCTTGAGTGGGCGTGTCCTTACAGACGATTCAATCTCTTATGTCTCTTTTTATTATTACCTATTTTAATTATTACAGATTTGTTTTTATCATCATCATTAAAAACGACTGAAAGCTGTTTTACCTTCTTGTGTCTTTAATTAAATGAATGCAGACGCACATCAAGTTGTCAGCATCCAGTAAATGACCGCAGATTTAAAAATAGGTTTCTCCTCATTTTCTCAGCTGGTAATTATAAATGAACTGGCTGATGTTTGCTCAAGAATCAGAATGATTACTTTCTTTATGAGTGTTTATTCTCGGTTAAATGTAAAGAAAAAATAAGTCCCATTTTACATGAGAATAGGTCTGTTTGGCTGCCAGTCTGACCCCCCCTACCCAGCAGTGATGGTACAGTCTTGGTTCATTCATAAAATTCTAGCAGGGCTTTAATAGGAGGGGCTTGCATTCTAGTCGTCCGGTTACCAGGTATATACCTGTCTGCTCAGTGGAAGGCCACAGTCACATTTGTCTTTATCAGGACTTAAAAATAATAGCCCTCCCTGCGTGATGGATCTAAACCACCCGACGTCTGGGATGGATCCAGTCTCTCCCTCCCTGCGGACACAGTCACCTGTCGGGACAGTCTGCCAGAAGACGCCAGAAGAGGCGAGCTCCCCAGCCTCCTCCTCAGAGAGCAGTGCCAAGGTATGAATGGCTTTGGATCATGTATTCAGCGTGCATCCCGGAGAGGGGGAGGAGGGGGGCGTTTATAGCAAATCAAACATCTGTTGTTTTTTTTCGTTTTAAATCCGTGTTGTGGGGGAGGGGGGGGGGGTCACTGATAACATCCTAATTATCTTAGACGCGCTTTATCGCATCTGACGCATTTTGGTCTTGTAACAACTGGAATCCACAGCTGGAATAAAGAAGGACGTGATTTAAACCCAAACAAGCCGCTGATCGGGTTATTGTGGTTCGGAGGTCCTGGGACCAGTTCGGAGCGTGTCGATGCAGCGGTTCATTGAGAAAAATAAATCCATTCAGGAGACTCCTCAGCAGCCCTGCGTCAGTGCTGACGTCACACACAATGATAAAGTCAAATACTCATATGAGGAAGGCTATTTCTGGAGATGTTTATTTAAACGTATCATCTAATTTTTTGGTATGAATGTATTATTTATAGATTTTTTATAGAAAATCAGAACAATGGAACTCCCTAATAAATTTAGAATTACCAGCAATGCTGTTTAATGTATTTATTCTTAATCAATATTAATCCTTGTTTTCAGGAGATTTGCCAAGATACAAGGCCCCGAGATGATCCGTTTGTTCCAACAGTCACAGCAATCTCCTCCACCCCAGATTTCCAGTGGATGGTCCAGCCTACGATCATCACATCTGTCTCTCCGTCTTCGTGTGGCAAGCAAGCCAATGAACCGCAGAGCGCTCACCAGGCAACACCCAAAGCAGGCGGGAACAAGGGGAAAAATGCCAGAAAGGGGAAAACAGAACAGGTGGGTTCGACCTGATACTGCAACTGGACAGGATGATGTGAATTAGCATGTGCCAGTCAGAATTCCTAGTGTGCACCGGTGCTGTTTCCAGCTTTCCTTTGAAAGAAAGTCAATTTATATTCAGGTCACAGCAAGGCTGCAACAATGATCTATTTTTAGACGCAATGCAGCTGAACAGGCTTTTACTGTCCTTCTGAGGCTGTAATTGAAATAGTTGGATTCTTCAACATGATGAAACGTTCCTTTCATTTCCCAGCTGTCTCCAGAGGAGGAGGAGAAAAAGAGAGTAAGGAGGGAGAGGAATAAAATGGCTGCAGCGAAGTGTCGCAGCAGACGGAGGGAACTCACAGACACATTGCAAGCTGTAAGTAAACAGTGATGCATTTACTCAGCTGTCATTCGCACCTCTCTGCTGCGTGCTTTTCCATGTGGATGATTCTGGATGTGGATCTGTCTGAAGGAGACGGACACGCTGGAGGAGGAAAAGGCAGCCCTGGAGACGGAAATCGCTAACCTCCTTAAGGAGAAAGAGCGGCTTGAATTCATCCTTGCCACGCATCAGCCTGCGTGCCAAATGTCAGAGGAGCTTGAGTCCATCTTCCAGGAGTCCACAGGATCCCCAGAGCTTCCGCCCAGTCCGAACGAGGACAGCCTTCCAGAGGATGGCATCCAAGAGGCTCCTTCACTCCAGGACATGGACATTCCCAGTGACCCTTCCACAGCCATCTCTGGGAACTCCAACATCTTACTGTGTGCCAGTGCTGAAATCAACATCAGTGATCTGGAGCCCTCTCTGGACATTAAGGAGGAGCTACTAGACAATATGTTACCCAGTTTGGAAGAGAGAACCCCCATGGAGACGGCCCGATCCGTGCCCGACATCGATCTGAGCAGCTCTCTCGGGGTGTCGGACTGGGAGACCCTATACAAGTCTGTTTCCTGTGACCTGGAGCCTCTCAGCACTCCTGTGGTGACCTCCACACCCACCTGCAGCAGCTACCTTTCTGTCTTTACATTTGCATGTCCTGAGCTGGACTCTCTCACAGAGGGACTGGACAGCCTCAAAGGCGGCCTAAGCAAGGCTGAATCTGTTGACATCCTTAACTCGCCGACTCTTTTAGCCTTATAATGCACAGAGGGAAGCGATCTGCCTGTTTTTTTTTCCTGTTTGCTGGTTCCTGACTCAGAAATTAAATCAACAATATATGCCCAAATATGCTGTAACACTTCAAGATGTATGAAATATCTTGTTTAACTGAACGAGCATATAGTGAACAGAGATGTAGCTAAAAGCATGGCTTCCATCTAAAGAGGGGCTGATGTTTTGATCTGAAAACGCATGCAGAGAAACTCCAAATGACTTTCAAATCTCGTATCTATCTCTATATACAAATGTATGTTATGGGTCTGTTCTAGATCTAAAGTGTGTTGTAGAATTGGATGTTGCAGTATGGTTTAGTGTTTTTGGTGTCATATATGGATTACTGTAAATGTTATTTACACTCATTCATGTTGCATACCTTGATGTCATCAGCTGTGGTTTGACCTCATCGTTAAAATGTTGAAAGTTTTCCATGAAAACATCCCGTGCTATCTATCTTTATCAAGATGTAACTTATGATTTATTTTTTTACCTCTCAGATTTTGACTTATTTGTTAAAATGGAAAAGAAAATAAGCATTGATTGCTTATGGTGAATATAATAAGGATGATGATAATAAATCTGTGTCCACAGTGGCTTTGCTTTGAGGAAATTCCTTGTTTTGTCTTCTCAGATGGAAATTTTTGATCTTTGCATTTTTTATTGTTATAATTTGAGAGTGGATTTTTAAAAATCCTGTAAATCGGTGCAGGGCTGAGAGCTTCTGGTTTGTGCTGCAGCATTTTGCAGCTTTCTTTATGGGAGGAGCAGTGCGACTTCCCCACTTCTGCTCCCCCACTATGTACTTTTTTTTTACATCTGGCTGGCATCGCTTAATTTCCGCATTCCCAAATCCTCCCAGATTGGGATCACTTTTAAAGTCGGGCTGATGCAACGGTTTCCACTTTTTAAAATCTACTCTCGACCCTCGTCTGACCACAAGAAGGAACATTTGTTGCACCTGGGATCAAAGTCAGGTCGGTAAACAAAACTTCACGAACCCGAAGGATTAATAATCCGAACCGAGCGCTTTTGTTGGCGCGGATTGGCTGCAGCGCGCATCGCGGTTCCCAATTCGTCGCTTGCTCTGAATCCTGTTCTTGTTTCTGATCGCGCTGCAGGGAATAAGGAGATCATTGCAGTTTCTTTTCCTTTCTTCCTCGTGTGCTTGTGTGCTCCTTCAACATGAATCACTGCGTCCACAAATCAGAACAAAATGTTCTCCTTTAGTCCAGGGCAACGTTTCCGTCTGCGCTGGGCGCTGATTCAGGGAAAAGACTCTAAACTGTAACATTAATTAACTGTCGGTCTCAGATGGAAAGACCAAGTTACGTAAGGTCAACGCCATACTGAAAGGAGACTTCCGCTTTCAAATTGACCAACTGAACATGTGCAATCTGCCAGGAGACACAAAAACTCACTAAGACTTCTCAGGCAAAATTGCAATAAAACACATAAAAACTCTTCTGTAACAGCCCCTCTTTTTAAATTAAAATAATCATCTATACCCGCTCTTAAATCGAAATTCTTAAAAAAACACCTTATATTTAATTCAATTCAAATTCAATTATTTATATAGCGCCAAATCACCACACACACACACACACACACACACACACACACACACACACACACACACACACACACACACACACACACACACACACACACACACACACACACACACACAAGCAAGCAACATTTTTGTCTTTATCTCAGTGAATCTAACAGGTGAACTATAGCACAGTCAAAAAGTAAATGCTTTTATCAGGAGAGCGAGAATTTACCAACCTTATCCAGTGTTCCAAACCTAATTAAATCACCAAGATGCACACATCACAAATATAAACACAAGAAGCCTTATAAAGGCTTTAAGTTTATGTAAGTAAACATTTAAAATCAAGTGTCATCCTTTCATCAATAGGTCCTAACATGAAAATGTGAGGATCAGTTTCTTTTTCAATTTACTAAAAAGGTTCTGAGTTAACCAAAACGGTAACTCTCAGCGTTTTTGAGTAGGTAAACAGACTGTTCTTGTGCTTTATTATGTTCACATTATATATAAAATGTACTGCCTTATAAAATGGAATATAGTACAAACAAAAGATTAGAAGCTTTTAGTCAAGTTTGATCTATCCATCCATCCATCCATCCATCCATTTTCATCCGCTTATCCGGACCGGGTCGCATGGGCCGCAGCTAAGTTGAGAGGCCAGACTTCCCTCTCCCCAGCCATTGGGCCAGCTCCTCCAGGGAATCCCAAGGCATTCCCTGGCCAGGTGAGAGACATAGTCCCTCCAACGTGTCCTGGGTCTACCTTTAAGTCTCCTCCCGGTTGGACGTGCCTGGAAATCCTCACCAGGGAGGTGTCCAGGAGGCATCCTGACCAGATGCCTGAGCCACCTCAACTGGCTCCTCTCGATGTCGAGGAGCAGCGAATCTACTCCGAGCCCCTCCCGGATGACTGAGCTTCTCACCCTATCTCTAAGGGAGAGCCCAGCCACTCTGTGGAGAGAAAACTCATTTCGGCCGCTTGTATCCGCGATCTCGTTCTTTCGGTCACTACCCAAAGCTCATGACCATAGCTGAGGGTAGGAACGTAGATTGACCGGTAAATCGAGAGTTTCGCCTTCTGACTCAGCTCTCTCTTCACCACGAGCAGCACCAATCTGCCAATCGATCTCGCGCTGCAGCGTCCCCTCACTCGTGATCAAGACCCCGAGATACTTAAACTCCTCCACTTGGGGCAGGACCTCATCCCTGACCTGGAGAAGGCAACCTCAATACAACAACTCAAAAGTGGAAGAGATTGTTTAAATATTACAAAACATTAAGTGATGATTATTCTAAAACCCTTTTTGCTTAAAAACACTTTTGCAAACATCTTGTGTTATAGATCTATATTAACCTCTATAATGAAACTTCTGTCATCTGTGATGAAATAATCTTTTTTTTTCTGCTACCAAAGTGCATGACATTAACTTTGTTGCATTTTATGAACAATTTAATTAAAAAAAATACTATTTTAGTTTTACACATCCCACAAAACATACTCTCTGCAATTTCTTTAAAATAATTTGAAGAACAAATAGACTAATTGTTTATGTCGTCTGCAAATACTAGAGTTTGGGACCAAGGAGTCAAGCTTGAGGGACTCCACATTAAATCTCTACATGTATGAAATTAGAACTTTTCATGTCTAACCTTGTAAGTTCTCTTATTTGTGCTATGAGACACTTTAAATACAAATTTTGCTTCCAGAAGAATCTCCTGCAAACTTCCACTTTTTGATTTTAACCTGCAGTGTAGAGAAGTGTAAAACTGAGAGCTGCATGTAAGATTTTCTCACATTAAACCAAATTTATAGTCTTTTCCTGTAAAGAGCATATTTGTCTTTTGCATTTGACAAATTTGCCTGTGTGTTTATAGCATTTATGTCAGATGAAGTCTTTTTTTTTACTGTGCAATAAAGGTTTCTGTGTAATTGACCCTGCATTGTTTTTTGCTGTGTCATGTGGCTTGGAAAACCATTGAGCTGTAGTAGTTTCCTGTGTGTTTGGCCGTTGGTGCACACACACCTCATACAGCAACAACTGAGCATTCACTCAGTTTATGCATACATATGACAAAGAGGCCAGTTCCTTTTAAGAGGGTTATCCAAGTTTAGTTTATGTTAGACTCCTGCAGCCACATTCCTCTGCCCTTACATTAGGTCTCATAAGGAGGAAACCACAGTTAACAGCAATTTCTTGGCTCGCCTTCAACTTCCCTTGGAATAAAGAGGAATTTGTCTGAGTCTGTTGGTGCAGCGTTGTTCGTTTTGCTTATTTTTAACCTTCTAAGATTATATAAAATAAATTCTTGCATCAATCTCATGAATAGTTGTGCATTAATTTTAGATCAGGTATCTTAAATTATAATAAATATTATAATAATACAGCTTTGGCATTTCTTAATGGTAGAGTCCTACGGCTGAAAGGGAACACTGAGCCTTGGGTAAAATCCTGTCGAGCCAAAAAAAAAAACATAAATAATTTTTTTCTTTTTCTAAAAATTGTTTTGAAAATATTTTAACTGAAGCAGGAAATTCAATAGTTTCTGTTTATTTATTTATTCATTTTTTTGCAGAACTTAATTTTAAGAAAAAACGTTAAAAGTCTACAGTCAGCAGGTTAATTTGAGGGTGTTGGGATTTTTGTGGCTCTAAAAAAAATAAATCCCCCTTCTCATGATGAAAAGACTCAAAACTAGCAGAAGCCTTTGTTGCGTGAAACATTTGGACTGGCAGGATTGGAAAAACCTTCAGGTGCAGCATTTGGGCATTGGACCTGAAAGTGTTCCCAACGAGGAAGCGTCCCATTAGCTTTCCCGCATTCTAGACCAATGCTTCATTGCTATAATTTATTAGGCATTATATTATGTGTGTAAAAATGGATTGGCCTTTTTTGCTGTCTCATTTTGTCTAATTTTTTCTCCTCTGCTTCCAATAGCTGTGGTCAAGACCGAGTCTGACGCAATGCCAGGACAAATCCCAGATCCGTGTGTGACGGCGGGCTCCTTGCCCAGCCTGGGCCCGCTGGCTGGGATCTCAGCCACCACGCTGACTGACAAGCTCAAGTTTGGTGATCTCCAGGAGTTTGGAACAATGTTGTCACCGCTGCATTTCTTGGACAGTTTAGGGAAAAGGCCTTTAATCATCAAAACAGAGGTGTGACACACAGATCAACACCCTTTTGACTGATGTATTTGCTTTTGATTCAATCATTTTTCCTCATTCTTTAGTGACATTTGGCTCAAATAAAGGTGTTTTGAGATATCATGTCTTATGACAACATGCAAGCTTGTCATGTTGTGTGGCAATAGTCTAACCCACGACATACAGAATCAGTCCACTGACAAAGGTAAGAGTTCAAACAATAGTTTTTTATAAGGAGAACGAAAGGAGCAGCGTAAAATCAGGCTGAGTTCTTTGGACAGGATTCCGGTGTGGAGATCTGGAGACAGAGGGAGTTTAGCTCCGGTATATGTGATCTGAATAGATTGTGGGGTTTAGAGGACTTGCAGCGCACCAGGCTAAAGACCAAAGGTGACAGATCATTTGCTACTGTGGCCCAAAGACTCTGGAACTCTCTCCCCCTGAGCCTGTGATCAGTGGACTCAGTGGTCTCCTTTAAAAAGCAGCTGAAGACTCATTTTTTCAAGCTGGCTTTTGTATGACCTTCTTCACCAATCTCTCTTTATTCTGCTCTCCCCACCTATTCCACCTTCCTCAGGATTCACTGATTTTGCTCTTTCCTATTCACTCTCTCTCTTTAACTTTTTTTAATCACAATGTTTTTGTGAAGCGCCTTGTGATTTTTATCTTGAGAGGCGCTATAGAAATGATACCTTCTTCCTCTTCCTCCTTCCTCTTCTTCCTCTTCTTCTTCTTCTTCTTCTACGGTCTTGAAGTGTGGATGACTCGAGAGGGGAGATGGTCCGGTCTGGGGAAAGGGAGCTTACTTGCGGCAGGGTTCCTGAGGGCTTGAGGTGGAGGGAGCTGAGCAAGGAGGCTTGTGAAGATCCGGGAGGGTCTAGGTGGGTTGTTGGAAGTGGGGAGGCCAGGAACGGGCTGAGAGACGAACAGGGAGTCGAAGAATTCCAGATTGCAGTCGGTCAGAGGTGGAAGTGGGGTGATGTCTGCAGAGAGGGTTAAGAGGGTGGTCAGGCATACGCAATCCAACAAAGGAACAAATACTCAAAAGACTAAAATACTCAATATAATGTGTCAGAATTGGCTGATAGGTACCCAAGTTGAGCTAATCATCCAGTGAAGTGAAGGCGTCTCTCAGGTGCTTAAGTATCCCTGGCCAGCTGATGAGCAGATGACCTGCAGCTTCCCCACTTCCAGACACACCCACCTGCAGAAAGAAAACTCAAATCCAATTAGTGAGTGGAAGGAGAAACCCCAGTCCATGACAAAGCTAAGTATATCGCGTGCAAAAGTCCATCTCCCTTTATACGTAAATGTACATTAAGTAAAAATTTTACAGTGAAGTAATCACAAAGCAGCCTAATGTCTCAATCATGGTGGAAAGAAGGTAACACTGAAACAGATTTCCTTCTCAGCTGGCTGGGGTGTTGTCGGTTTTTCTCTTTTTAAAAATGACAAAGAGGGACGCACTCGTTTACGACATGTGAGCCGCGGCTTTGCCGAGTCTGCGGCAGCCATCTGCAGCGAGTCTGCGTCGGCATTTGCAATTGGACACAGGTCAGCAAAAAGCTCCTGAGTTGTTAACAGTCTGTTAAAGCTACAATGGCAAATCTGCAAAACAGGCTAGCCGTGACCTAGGGATGATAGCCAATAGGAGGGCTGAGATTTCTGTGACTGTGTTTGAAACAGTTGTGTCCAAAGTGCCCGTCACCATAAAATAATGTATAAAAATTAAAAAAGCATATTTTTGTGGTCTATGAGGAGTTTTAACTTCATGATTTTGGCCCTCGTCTTGAAAAGTTTGGACATTCGTAGTTTAAAAGATAGCTTGTTGTGCAGGTTTGCTATTGTAGCTTTAACCAGTCAAAGGAGCAGCCCAGAAGTTATTTCTCACAACACTAATGGGCTCCACACATGGGAGGCGACAAATGACTGCGATCATTGAAACCTTTCGCTGCATGCGGCAGCAGCCAGCAGTAAAACCCATCAACGCACTCTGTTCCAGGGCACATAGCGAGTCTTCTGTTGTTTTGATTGGCCAGATTAGAGGGACTGTTGCAGAAATGTTGTAAAGCTCTGGGAAATACGACACGGCAAGTACTTTTCCTTCATGTTTGCACGGAGATGTACTGAGAAGCATTCTGTCCGCTCATTGGTCAGTCAATGAAATCTCCACTGATTGGTCCTTGTCCGAGCGATAGCGATAAAAAGTTGAAATTTTCCAACTTTCTAGGATCGCGTAGCTGGCTTGACTGTGCACGACACATGCACGAGCGCCAAATTTCACATGCACGTTTTTCTCGTGTTGCTTAGCTGGAGGGAGACCCGTGACAATCGGTTTGTCACGCATGTCTCACTGAAAATGAATGGAGGAGAGGTGATGTCGCCTCCTGTGTGTCAAACCCAAAAGGCTGGGAATATACTTCCTTTTTAACCTCGGAGGCAGCAGGCTGTGTCCTTTTCACATACTTGCTGCTGCACTGCATGTAGTACTGGGCGACGGTGGCACAGGAGTTAAGTGCTCGCCCCGTAATCGGAAGGTGACAGGTTTGAGCCCCGCTCAGTCTGTCACTGTCGTTGTGTCCTTGGGCAAGACACTTAACCCACGTTGCCTGCTGGTGGTGGTCGGAGGGACCGGTGGCGCCTGTCCTCGGCAGCCTCGCCTCTGTCAGTGCGCCCCAGGGCAGCTGTGGCTACATCGTAGCTCATCACCACCAGCATGTGAATGTGTGGGTGAATGGGTGAATGAATGATTGTGTTGTAAAGCGCCTTGGGGGGTTCCAGGACTCTAGAAGGCGCTATAGCAAATACAGGCCATTTTACTGGAAGACCCTGCTAGAGGGCACAGCACAGAACTCAGACCGGATAGAGTGCCAGATTTGTAGGGTACAAACAGAACAAACATAGCGACAACAGAAGAGATCCGTGGTTGTTTAATTTTGAAATAAAAACAGAAAAAAGACAACGTTGTTGTATGTACGATACCAGACATTGCGTGACAATGGCCGAGTGTGTGTCTATTCTGCCTACTGGTTACTCCCATATTGCAGCTTGCGAACACGTCGCGTTAATTTCAGAGGAAGCACGATCTTTACACGAGTTATGCAAGGCAGGACATTACAAGCAGTACATTCCGGCCCTAAGAAGACATCTTTCTGTTTTACACTGAGCTAACAATGTTACCAAATTAATAGCATCTATGACATCACTGCGCAAATGCTGCTGGGTGCTAATGCTAGACAAACCGTTGGACATCGATACAAACAGACATGAAATTCAAACAGTTACTCTTTCAAGTAGCATTTTCTCAAGTTCCTTTTTTACTCTTTGGCTATTATTTGTGTTAGTACTTTTTACACACCGCCCACCTCTGGTCAGAAGCCTTTTTTGTCCACATTGTGATGCTGTTTCTTCGTTTACATCTCTACCTCCTGGGTAACTATACATCCTAGAGCGTTGCCAGTATCAGCTCTTATTCTCAGATGTAGTAATAGGACCTTTCCCACCGGGAAAATATGTGGAACAGTTATACCGCATACTGTGAAAACCCTCTCTTCCACCCAAACACTGCCACCGCTTTGCTTTGTCTGTCTTTAGCCTGGCCAGTTTCTCTTTCCAGCTGTGTCATGTGGTCGCGGACTTTACCTGGCTTTGGAAAAAGGATACAAAATGTCCCGTCTGCCATCTCATCTGGGTATCTAGTCTGATTAGCACCTCCCCCAACAGCAGTGCTTAGTTCCTACCTGTTTGAACATCTTTAGTTGACGAAAATACAACTTTGAGACGAGCAGAGCGACTCAGACCCATGGGCACCTATGCAAAATACATGGTTGCTTGTCTAGGGCTACATCCCACAATGCTTTGCGGCGTTACATCTCAATCTATTTTTAGCTACTGTACAATATGCTATTGAAAAAGAAGCATAGTCGACTCCAAAAAAATGTCAAGCTACTTTTTCAGTTACCAGTAACAACTGGAGAGGACAGTCAAATGTGTTTATCTACTCATCAACTTCCAGTGTATGACTTATCTTCGCTCGTCATCTGGATTCTTCTGGCACTGAGTAGTAACTGGCAACAGCCATGAAACTTGTGGACGATGGTGAGACTCTTTGTTTAGAAACAGACTGCAGTACCCAAATCTGACCACAGGATGTCATTCGTACTTCATTCATGCACCTTTAAGGTCCAGCTGGACTGAAAAACTATTTTAGCAAACTTGCAAAGGGGGAACAATGATAATATTTTGTAATTTCTCTGCGGCGCCAGTCTAAGATGAGATGCTCCTTAAAGTACTTTTATTTCATCTGATGTTTTGCAGAGAGATGAAGAAGAAGAGAGGAGAAAACGAAGGCGAGAGAAAAACAAAGTGGCTGCTGCTCGATGTCGAAACAAAAAGAAAGAAAGGACAGATTATTTACAAAAAGTAAGACAAATCACATTAACTCTCTTTATATTATGTCCCATCTAACAGCTAAAATAATCCTTTTTCTTTCCGTAGGAGTCAGAAAGACTAGAGATGTTAAACTCTGACCTGAAAGCCCAAATCGAGGAGCTGAAACTTGAGCGGCAACAGCTTATCCTCATGCTGAACCGCCATCGCCCTACGTGTATTGTTAGGACGGATAGCGTGAAAACCACAGAAAGCGAGGAAAACCCCCTGCTGCAGCATTTCGAGGCTAAGTGAAGACCTCAACCAGCTTGAGAAGGAGTCATCAGCACTTAGGTTGGAGCCTCAGTCGAGGAACAGAACCAGCCAACAACTCCTGCTCTGAAACAAGAAGATCCAGTCTCAAATCTCGTCTATACTCATTTGCCCTCTGCTTCATCAGAGCTCCAACCACAGACTTAACAAAAACACATCAAAACTTTTTAAAATGAAAACATTACAAACATATACATTTAATTTCCACACTCTTTTCATTGTTTGTCACAGAAAAGATAAACGTCTTGGTTCTATATTTCATTATGTTGGCGCAGGCGTCATGTATGCACATATAAATATATCTATAACAAGTGTTTACATTCTACTTTATTTACTGTCTGCATATTGTTACAGGCAATTTATGTTTTTATACTGTTGTATATATTGTTATATAAGCTATTGGAAAAAAACCTCAATTTATATTTCCTGAAGAAATAAATGTTTAGTTTCTTTTTACTGGATTCATTTCTTTACATGAAGAACAAGATGTTGGAGTAACACTGCCACCTAGTGGCTGCTACCAGAAAAAATTAAAACAAGCACATTTATGTTTTCATAAATGAGTTTTCCTAAATATGACAAAGTTTGTATTATTAACATTGGAATAATGAAGGATAATTTTCTATTTGTCAATTAATAAGCAGCTCGGGGAGCAGCAAAGTACTCATTGTTCTTGCAGGAGGAATTTAATAAGCAGATTACAGGCAGAGGCTACATCTCACAACAGTGTTTAGATGGTTTTTGTTGGAAATTACTGATAATTCGCAACTTAGCAAGATAATTTGTCGGATGATGAGTGTCTTATTGAGGCAGAAAATGCAATAAAAGAAACTTTAATGGAAAAAAAGGAAGCTGGAGCAACAAATAAAATATGGAGGGAGATCCAAGGCAGGTTGAGTACAGACCGCAATTCATGACAAACAAGCTGAGAAACAAAGTACTACAGGTGTGCTGATTAAAAAACCAGGTGTGGCTAATGAGGAATTGAGAAGGAAGCACAAAGAAACCAGAAAATACTAAATGCAACAACTATAATAAAACAAACACAAAAAAACGACAAAAAGACAGCCTCTATCTCCTTGTCATGTCTTCTCATCTCAGCAGTTGGGAGGAGACACGGGTCAGCTCCTCACCTCTCAGAAAGCTCAAATATTGATTCACCTCCAGGAGAACAGGTCAGTCCTCAAGAAGAAAACCAAACTAAATAAGTCCTCATTTCTGTGGAAAGTACACAAATTCCTGAAAAGTGATTATTTCTAGTATAGCACCACGTGAACCGAAAGTGAGACCTTTACAAGTTCCGGGTATCTTCTATTTTATGAGGACTTTCTTCAAAGGTAAAATCATTTCAACTGGATCAGAAGATGGGGAGCAGAAGCGATAAGGAACCCACAGAGAACGGATCACACGTGGGAGCCAAGGGTCAAGAGGTCTCGGTCCAGGCAGAGTGCGTCCCAAACGGAGACTCCGCGCTCCCGACGCGGTTGTTTAGGAGGCGCTGGGCGATCGTGTTCCTGTTCAGCTGCTACTCCCTCAGCAACGCGTACCAATGGATCCAGTACGGAATCATCAACAACGTCATCACCAAGTTCTACAAGGTGGACGGCTTCGCGGTGGACTGGCTGTCCATGGTCTACATGCTCGCCTACATTCCGTTCATATTCCCAGCCACATGGTTCCTGGATTGGAAAGGACTGCGCTTCTCTGCGCTGATGGCGAACGCGCTCAACTGCGCAGGGACGTGGATAAAGGTGGCCAGTGCCCGACCAGACCTGTTCTGGGTCACCATGCTGGGACAGTGCACCAGTGCTCTGGCCCAGCTCTTCATCCTGGGGATGCCTTCTAGTCTGGCGTCTGTATGGTTCGGAGCAGAAGAGGTTTCCACTGCCTGCTCCATCGGGGTTTTTGGTAATCAGGTGAGGGCATTAAATAAAAAGTGTATTATTAATAATATTATTAATAATAATAGCTATTTTAAGCTCTTTGTCAAATTTCAGAGTTTGCTGGATTAAAATTAGTGGTTGGATGCAAAATATGCAAGTTCTGGCAAAGGCACTGACAGTTTTTATTATTATTATTTTTGCTTGCCACATAGAACTCTTTGTAAACTACCTGTGTTTAACATTTGTTGAGGCTTTGGCTTTGGCATCAACTTTGAATGTTTTAGACATGAGCAGATAGAAAGTCCTTTATTTAGGAAAATTATTTATTAGCTTCTTATTCTTGGACTGAATATGAATATGTTCTGCTGATCATTGCCCTCATTTGTCCCAGCGCTGGAATTGAGGGATATGCTGGAATTATTTCCCGACAGGACAATTGCATGCAGAGTTGGTTTGAAAGACAGCTTTGGCTTCAGCCCCTTGACTGAGCTCTGTCTATAGGTTGTGGCTTTCCAGGCTATAATACTTCAGGAGTTTATTTTGGCGTCCTCTTTTATTAATTGATCATTGTTAAATGAGTGTTAAAGCTTATTTTTTTTAACTGGACAGTCTGAGATTCTCTTTTGGGCGAATCCAAATAGGAATATAAATTTTCCCTGTGCTCGTGCCGCCACAGCTGCATTTAGATTACGCATAGCTCTGATCCGAAGTGGAATGTGGATACGTCAGGGCTAACAGCAGCAAACCTGTAACTGCTGCCTGAGATCAACACTGAAATGCAAAACTGCACCCTGAATCAACCACTTAAAAATCTGTGGGAGTAATTACTGGTAATCTCTACTCCAGGCTCAGCGGGCTGTTTGTGATCGGCGTGTAGAAAATCTCCACCGAGTTGGAGGAGAGTCGGGTAAAATAGGAGTCGAGAATGCCCGCACAAGTAGATTATTCTGCTCTTGCCTTAGATTTCTGATGCAACACGGGACCAAAGAGGGGAAACATGATTATGTAGAAGATTTTCTTCATGAACGAAGATAATTTGTGTGTATTTTTAATGTAAGTGTAAAACTTCATTGGAATAGGTATTTGGATTTAAAATGGCTAGATAAAATATCAATACAACTCAGGCAGCATGCTTGAGATGTTTTCAAAAATTGGGAGAAAGGGGAGGACATGGGGTTCACTGTGAAAATGGGATATATTGTCTAACTTTCCAAAGTAAAGATGGGCACTAAACTAGATACTGGTTAATACAATTTTTGACTGTTTAGAAAATCTCTTAATTTGTAAGACTGGATGTTTTCTCAGAGTCACTTATGCTGGAATTATTTCCCGACAGGACAAATTGTTCCAACTTTCCCCCAAAAGAACAGAACAAAATGGAAACGGCACATGTTGTGCTTTAATCTGATCGTCTTTGATGCTGTGCTCAAATATAGACCATCACATCCCCTCCGACGCGCTTCACCCTCTGATCTTAGGTTATTTTGGCCTCACCTCTTTCACCAGACAAAGAGCGACATACCGATCATTGTCGTACTTGTTGTTGTTTGGTGTTTTAATCCCACTCCCTACAGATGCAGATAAAAGGACACATTGTTGTTGGTGTTTGCTCGATTGCCACTTCTCAAACGTTGGTGGCTTTGGTCCCTGGATTGGATGCTTCAGGTTGAATGAGTTTATACATCCTAATGAACTGAAAAAAGGTCAGCTGATTATGCAACAATGAAGTTGTAAAGTCTGCAGCTTTTATGCTGCAGAAGGCAACAGGTGTACATTCCTGGGAGGACTGAGGAATAGGTTGTTTTGCATTGGCGTAGATTTACTTTTGACATTGGTGGACTTATAAATCTACCCCCCCCCCCCCCCCCCAATATGTGATTATTTTATTTTTTCTCTTTGATCCTTAATAAAACCAATAAAGTACTGATTTGCTATATATACTATTCAACATACTTAATTGTAATGTTAAATGTTTAATGACTGACAAAATCACATTAATTCTTTACTCTCTAAAGTAAAATCAAGATTTGGGTCTCTATACCAGCAGGTCATCCTTTACTCATTCTGCAAAGCAACCCTCGGTCAAAATGACAATCCTTCCCATCTTAAATTACGGGGACATCTTTTCTAGGACTGCATCCAATAAACTTCATCAACTCGATGTCATTTATCACTCAGCAGTCTGTTTGGTCACTGGTGCCCCTTTCACTACTCGTCGTTGTGATCTTTACTCACTCGTTAGCTGGCCATCACTCCATTCCCACAGGTTGGTGCATTGGTATCGGTTCATATACAAAACCATCGTCAGTAGAACCCCGTCATATCTTCTCTTTACTCATAACTTCCAACAACCAGCGTAATTTATGTTCCAGTAACTTCATCTCTATGGTTATTCCCAAAGCTCGCACCTCCTTTGGCCGCTCCTCATTCTAGTTTGCTGATTCCAACGACTGGAATGAGCTGCAAAAACCACTGAAGCTCTCTACCTTCAATAATTCATTAAATCAAGTTTCTGATCAATGTTCCTGCTTCTGAGTGCTTAAGACTGTTTAAATCTGTTTTGATTGCTTGTGCATATTATATATGAGAACAGTCCTTTGTCTTTATGTCTTATTTTTTTTATCTTGCCTGTTTTTCTTTGATAAAAAGCCAACTGTCTGTTGCTGCTGCCTGTTGGTCAGATCGTCGTTGTAAATGAGAACGAGTTTTCAATCGACTCATCTGGTTAAATAAAACTAAATTAAACAAAAAGGTGGTTTACACTACAGTTAAATTCTTTTTGCCAATAACGTTATCATGATGGACTCGTTTCTTTAGCGAACTTAACTTTAAGTAACTTACACGTTTCTTTGGAAAATAGCTCCTTATGTCTTAAACCTTCTTTTTAGCCTCCATCCTCACTCGCTTTTGGTGCTGTGTGTCACTCACGTCACATTGCAAGCACAAGAGTCTTGATATCGAACGTTTTCCTTCTAGCTTTGGTGCTGCTAACCTGCGTAGTTTGTCACGTGAGTCTCACGTGACAACATGCGCAGCCAATCACACCAGCCTTATGCGTTATGGAGGTAGGACCTGAGGAGAAAACGTCATTTAACCTTTTCTGCACCTTTAGGGTAACGAGACATTAAACATTATCCAGGGTAGTTATAATTATTTCCCAGTGGTGCCCCAAAGGGGGGTCCAGAAGGGGCCACAGTCATACCCTGGAAAATTGCTGGCCATCCCACTGGCCCCCACAAAGGAAGACGCCCTCATTAATCAAGACATAACTGTGTTAAACTTAGTCTTTTTTTTTTCCAAAAAGTGTTTGTGCTTCTTAAATTTGAGGTGACTATGTTGGATAGGCCTATTTCATGAAAAAGAATGAAGGAGCAATGCAATGTCCCTTGAGTTACCACAGAGACCAATTTGGTGTGCCACCCCAACATTTTCACTAGCTCCATCTGGCCCCCCTATGAAAATTTTTCGGGGCACCACTGGGTTTCCATATACATTTATTTAAAATAAAAAGCCAGTCAGGACTTTGCTATTCTTATCTCATCACCCTGGAGGTTGGGAGTGTGTTTCTGCCTCAAGCAGAGGTATCCCAACGTCTTGATGTCTAGGAGTGATTGGAGAAAAGACCGATTGATCGGGACTCCTGCCACTTACACATGAGCGTCTCTACGGTCTGGGGAGGATAGTTCAGTCTAGAACTGGTGGTGTAGTGTTCACTTATAAATCCGAAGGTTTCTCAGGAATGCAGAATCCTTTGGGCGGCGTTAAATACTGGAAAGTCCGTGGTGTCCTTCATAATAAGAAACAAAGGCGGCCATGAGCTGTGTTACTGTGTGTCCTCATTAAACTCTTGTCCTCTGCTGCTGCGGGTCCATACACACACGCACTCACACAGAGCTTTCACTTCTGAGAAACTTCACTGAGCAGCAGTGTGTCAGCTCGCTGGGGCAAGAGCTCCGATGCAGAGGACAGGGATGCACGCACAGCTCTCTCTCCCCTCCCGTTTCCACTGAGCGGCAGCTCAGTGCTACAGACGAAGAAGTTAAACAGCCTCCAGCATGAAAATCAATCTAGCATGCGGGAACCCCCCTGCTGGCTGATTCTACTCCCCAATCGGAGGCGGTAGGCGTAATTTCAGCCGGCCAGTCAGTCTGTGGTGTCACCTCGGTCCCAGTCTGACCACTGGGGAGGAGGTCTGAAAAAAAAAGAGTCGCCTCGGACTGGAAAACGCATATCTGATCCATGTGTGAAACCAAATTCGGGTTCCGTACCGGTCCCATACCTGACTGTGCCGACGCAAACGTGTAAGCGCCTTTTGTCTTCAGTACTGTGGGTGGTGCTTTGGGTCTGTTGCGGTTTAGCTCGGCTAAAAGATGAAACTTTGTTCATCTCAGCTGTTCAGGATAGTGGATTTGAGGGTGGCAGTCTCATCCGGGAAGAGCTGCTGCTCCTCCTCATCAGAGGATCAGTAGCTGAGGTGGTTTGGGTAGTGGAGGTTTTTAGCCACGCCCTCTGGCGATACACCTCAGGGCAGACCCAGAATGTGCTGCACAGATAAATGTGTGTATTTTGTGTCTTCTTATAACTTTTTTTTTAATCTACAGTTGGGTATAGCCATTGGGTTCCTGGTGCCCCCCATGCTCGTGCCCAATGTGAACGACATGGAGGAATTAGCGTTTCACCTTAGAACCATGTTCTACATGAGCGCGGGCGTGGCCACCTTTCTCTTCATACTTGTGATCATTGGTACGTTTTTACACTCACACACTCTCTATCTTTCTCTCTCTCCTCTCTTCCCCTCCCTCCCTCCCCCCGTCATAAGTGATTTTATTTTATATAAATATTTTTTTGAAGAATTTATTTTTTCTCGCTGAGCTTCTGTCTGGTTGTCCAGCGTCCCAGCCAGCGCTCAGATGAATCTATGTCACGTAGACGTTCCTTCTGAAATCTCATCTGCACGGCGCTCCAGCAGACGAGCAGCTGCAGTAATCGCTGTAATCGTTGACTGTCTGATGGGATCCAGTTTGATGCATTATGAAAGACATGCCAGATCCGGGGATGTCCAGAAAGTTCTCTGCTGTCACTTGTAAAATCTTCCTTTTTACCATGGAAACTAAAACAGACTTTGAGAACAACATGGTGAAGAAAATTCTGTTTTGGAAAACAAAGCAATTTTGGCAAGTTTATTTATTTATTTTAATAAAAAACACAAACAAATGGAGATTTATGTACTTTGTCGCAAATATATATTTTTATTGGAAGTCAATTTTCTACTACTTGTTAACATTTTTTAAAAGCAGATCATTGCATCCTATAATGCTACAAATATTATCCCCTTAAATATATTCTTTTGCATTTCTGGTGTTATTGTTTTATTTCCCTCAGCTATTTCAGATTAGTAGGACCTGACATATAAAACAGCAGTTTTAGTGTATTTAGCTTTTTCATTATTTTCTTCAAAAAGAACCATAAATAAAACTAAATGAATTAGAATTGACTTCTAGTCTCTCGAAACAATAAAACAGCTCGGATCACCTCACCATGACTTCATGCTGCTTGTGAACTTTGCTCTGGAGGACCACGTAAGAATCTTTTGGATCAATAATTATATTTAGCTGTCAAATCTTTCCTAGAAAGAAAAATGCAAAAAGTTTGGACCAATATTTGGTTTTTCCATTCTAGATTATCACTCTAATACAGAAAATCTAATTTGTTTACCCCTCCCACTGTCCTAATGGGTGTGACCCCGCGAGGAAAGCTGACCATTGAGCAGGATTGATGGTTTATCCCTTGAGGTCCACGTGGCAGGGGTGAGGAGTGATCACCACCTCACCCCTGCCACGTGGACCTCAAGGGATAAACCATCAATCCTGCTCAGTGGTCAACTTTCCTCGCGGGGTCACCCATAAAGACAGTGGGAGGGCTAATAAATGATAAAAATTAAAAACATAAAAGCTGTTTTAAACACGAATAGTGTAATGTTTATGGACAAAACTATTTAATGTTCATTTTTTCATTTAAAGGCAAATATTTCATTATTCATAGCTCTTCCTAATGTTTGATTTCATTTTCCCAAGAAATTTGACTTTTCCTTTTTATGATCTGCTGGCTGGAAAACCTTCCCAAGATTTTTTTTCAAAGTGATATGAAACAAAACTCTGGAGACAATAATTTCTTTTATTCTTGCAGCACATTGACAAATATGTCTCGCACGCGCACATACACACACACCTTTATTACCGTGTATCCTAAAGTTGCAAACACACTCTTTAGTGTTTCAGGAGAAGCCAGAGATCCCTCCGACCCAGTCCCAGGCTCAGGCCCGGCTCTCCAGACCTGAGGAGTATTCCTACGCGGCGTCCATCATGAGGCTACTGGGGAACAAACACTTCATGCTGCTTGTGGTCAGCTATGGTTGGTTTCAGATGCTTTTGTCACAAATGAAAAATGATCATGAATTGGTAATCCATCATGTTTTGGAGTCTTTCAGTCCTCTGTAGCTGAATTTAGATATAGTTTAGTTTTATTTTAGTGTCCTATTTGCATCTCATTCCGTTCTGATTTTTATCCATCCAGGATAGAAAGTTGTTGCACTACTGAGGTCAAAGTTCACCAGGCGTGTGCATGTGACACCAGCTACTCTTATATTTAAGCCGTGTGAAGATGTGTCATGGCTGACTGTAAAGTAGAGATCTAAAGGTCTTTATCATGTCATAAGTGGTCATAGGTCAGTATTAAATAGGAGTTTGAATATTTGATTAAAAAATTTGATTATTTACAATCTGATGTTCTCAAATAAACACGTTTATATCTTGGGAGTTTATTGCTAAATTTGGAACATTTTATCTTCTCTACTGATGCTGCATCTTGGTCACCGTTTAAAGGTGTGGTTGACTGAAAAAACATTTTTTAATCATTATTTATTATTATAAAAGGTCACTCAGAGGTTATCATGTAGGCTGAACATGAACAGTCTCTACCTATCTTCTGCATTAGCTTCTGAAAGAAAATAGATGGTGAAATGCTAGGATTTGAAAATCCTCACACTGTGATGTCACATTGTGAATTTGCATTTATGGCCTCGCCCATCTTGGCTTATGGCCACCCACAGGAAGGCTTCTTTTAATTTATTTGCTGCAAGGAGAGAGTGGAGAGTGTCTTGGGCCCAATGCCAATACTCGCCCTTCCATTGCGTGATCCCGACCAGTGGTGTGAGTGTGTAGGGTGTCCCCATTCTCAGGTGCCTTTTCTGAAAATCTGTATTTTCTAATGAAAATTGTTAATTTTAGGACGATTAGTTGATGCTCAGAAACTTTTAGACAAAGCAGCAATTAATGTAAATTAATTTCAAATAATTGTTTGTTTGTTTGAAAGTTATTAATAAAGGTTTTTAAAGAAATTATCACAGCAACCAGCATCCCAGCATGCATTGTGGTTGATGACGCTTCCTGTCTCAATTTGGCAATTATTTGCACACTTGTGTACCACGCACTCGAAGCCTTACTGCACACTTTCTCCAAGTGCACTTAGCTGAAGACCACAGGGTGCAGCGTGAGTATTGTGATTGGGCCTTGGTGATAGTGGCTTTGCAACATGGCTGAACGTGTTCTGTTAGCCAATCAGAAGCGGTGTGCGTGCATATCGTTAATAATCATGAGCAATCCTGCTGTTTTCATCCCACCTCTGCACCAGAAAACTTCTGCATCTCAGAACAGGAGCATCATAGCTTTTTTTAAAATGACATGTGAGGCATTGATGTACATTAGAGAACAATGCAAATGAATTGACTGACTGAGTAAACCACAGCTTTAAGACCAATTATCCCAGGATGAGGACGTCTCATGTTTGTTTTCTCTAGGATTAAATGTCGGCTGCTTCTACGCCATCTCCACACTCCTAAACCAGATGATCATGCAACATTATCCTGTAAGTGTCCGTGTGCATCCTGGAAAACCGTGTGCATTTCCAAGCATCTTCTTTTAGCCGTCTGATTAGACATCTTCAAAAACTTCCAAACCGGCAATTTAGTTTCAGCCAGAGATGCTAATGATTTTGTGTCTCAGGATGAAGAGGTGAATGCTGGGAGAATTGGACTGACCATCGTGATCGCTGGGATGGCGGGATCCCTCATATGTGGAATTTGGCTCGACAAGACCAAAACATACAAGTGAGATCTCACTATAAACACATTTGTACAGATACATGTGCAGAAAACAACCCACCACAAAAGGAACAAACACTCTTTCACTTAAACTCAGAGAACAGTTGATGAATCACAATGTTCTGTCCTTGCATGAAGCCTCACACAAAGCGATCCAAGTGGATTAAAACTTCTAGTCACAGTAGACACAAATAGGGAACAAGTGGAGCTGAAGCTTGTAGTGATATATCTGAACTGACAGGCTACACACTCGGGCCTCCTGCAACTCCATTAAAACAGGAAAAAGTGGTGATGAGTGCATCTAAATACAAATTATGTCTAGAAATGGATCTCAGTATTGTCAACTGTGAGATCTAAGAGAGCTGGAGTGATGCCACGTCCCGTGAAGAAGCGCGAAAGCTGCTTTGAAGAGTTAAATCCTTCGTCTGGGATTCCTCTCGTTCCGTTTGGCTCAGATTTTATTTACAGACCTTTGCAAATCTGTTATCACTTAGATTTAAAAGGACTTTGCTATGTTAACAAAATTGTTTTGCAGCATATTTTATGCATGATTGTGCAGAAAAAATGGCTTTGTCAGAGTAAGCCTGTTTTTGCAGATGGTCCAAGATGTGATGAGAGCTCTGCAGGGGCCCAGATGTTTTTTTTTGGGTGTATTTTTCAAGCTTGAGGATATTTGTTTGCATAATTTTTTTACATTCTAGCTGATATTTGTGCATCATACATTTAATACACGAACAGAAAAGATGAGCTATGAGTTGCTGAAGATTTATAAGCTACTTTTGTTCTATCCCAGATCAAAGGAAATGGATGCATTAAAATTAAAACAGTTTTGGCGATGCATTAATATGCTTGTGAGTGCACGTGGAGTTTTATTTATTGCAGCACTTTTTCAAACTGATATTGACTCTCATCCCTACAGGCAGACCACTCTGATTGTTTACATCCTTTCTTTGGTCGGGATGCTGGTTTACGCCTTCACCCTGAACCTGGGTCACCTGTGGGTGGTCTTTCTCACAGCTGGAGTTTTAGGGTCGGTAATCATTGATGGACTCCTTTTATGGGTAGCTGTAAAGTTCCATAACTGCTCTCCATGTCTCCATTTACCATATGGATGCCTGTGCTGCTTTTTTCTGCTGCAAATCACTTGATTAAAACCTAACTTGTGATTTTAAGCTAAGAAGTTTTGAGTTAAAGTTTCTTTCTGCCTGCAGTTTCTTCATGACTGGATATCTTCCTCTTGGGTTTGAGTTTGCAGTGGAGCTCACCTTCCCAGAATCTGAGGGAACCTCATCTGGACTACTTAACTGTTCTGCTCAGGTCAGCACGACCGGCGAAGCGTATCAAGCAGAACTCTACAAGCTTTATTCAATGCTGGAAACTGTTATTTTTTTTTTTATCTTATTCCAGATCTTTGGAATTATTTTCACTATTGGTCAAGCCAAGATAATTGAGAAGTGGGGAACTTTTGCTGGAAACATCTTTTTGTGCATCTTTCTGCTCATAGGAACAATCATGACAGGTAAGACGGGTTGATTTTCTTAATAACTGTTTTATATTGATCTCTATTCAGTCATAAATGTCTAAAATGGTTTTATTTTTTACCTTTGACAACTTTTCCACAGGTAGGATGCAAAGAAACAAACTAGATTTGAACCTCTAACATGGATGAATTCTGTCCCCTGCTGGCTACTTGAAGTTATGCTTAATTTGTCTTTTTAAAATGTAATAGGTTTAAAATGTTTTATTTATAACTATAACTTTTTTTAGGTATTTACTACAATATGCACAATCAGCATGTTTATTCTTAGATTTTAAAAAGTGAAAATGAGTAATTTTCAAAAATTTTAGGCCTCCTTTTAAGTTTTTTTTAATTAATCATTTCTAAATGTTTATAGATTAAAAAAAATGAAATAAACCCTTTTTGTGTCACCCTGATCAAAATTTGAACTACTCAGTAAAACCTTTCGATGTTTATTTCAGGATTCATTAAGTCTGACCTCCGGCGGCAGAAGGCCAACCAGCAGAATGAAGCTCAGCCTGTGAACGTGAGTTAATCAGTGAGTTCAGGTGAAGTCAGATGTGGGATCTTCATTCTGAATGTTCTTTGCTGCATTTTTTCTGCTGGCTGCATTATGCAAACTCAGCTCAGTGCTTTCTCTGTTGCAAGAATAGAAACAGCGTTGTGCAGCAGCTCTCATGATGTTTCAACAACTGGTTTAGGTTCTTTTTAAACTTCAATTGGTTTTACTTGGCTGCTTTTAGAATATAATAATCGGTGAATAAATATATTCTCTGTGAGAATGCATATCAGGATAATCTAGTAAAAGGAAAATTTTGATGAATCTTGTTTATTTTATGTAACACAAGAAAAGCATGCATTGACACAACCCAAAAGAAAACTCTTTGGCATTTAATTTCTCAAAAAGATCCTATTTTATTTAATACAACCATTTAAAATAAAGTATCAACCAAGCTCTGATTTCTCTTATGCTGCATTTTTCAACCCTTTGCTTCCTGTAATTTTCCAAAACCAGAACTTTCAGGCCTTTAAGGCAGTTTTACTCCCAGTTTTCTCAATGGAAAAAATATTTAATAAATATTCCAAAAGCTTCCAGATTTCACTCTAAAGCCTATTCAGATTTTGCTCTGGATGATGGGCTGCAGGTGTAGTTGGGTGCAGGTGTTGTTGGAGCTTACTGCTGGGGGTGTTATGTGGGAAAAGGTAACCCCTCTGTGATACGTGAGCTGTGATTCCAGCCTGCAGGTTTCCTATCGTCGGTGCAGGACTACGGGGCCACAGCGTCCAGCAGCAATCTTGATATAAATCTTCAATATTACTTTAACCAAAACACACTTAAGGTACAATCACACCGTATCAACATTTATGTAAAAGGGCATTAAAAAAATAAAACTACCCTGTATTTAATTTTCTGTAGAAATCAATTTCACTAGTGTAAAATTCTGATTTTTATCAAATTAACTTGTAAAAGTTTTTTTCTATCTCCTTAAAGTCCCCCCAAACCCTCTGAGGTTCACCTTCTGGCCCTTTCTGTGTGAAGGAAAAACTGTTTGTTACACCCAACAACCATTTGGATGCAGTAGTGTAGTGCTTGTCTGTTAGCTCCTGTTTTTTTGTGATTTGACTTCTCGTTTAAAACCCTGCAATAAAATTTCTAATTTTTGTTTTTCTTGCAGACAAAACCAGCGAATACAGAAGGAGGCCTTTCTTCACCTGAAATCCTAAAGGAGAGAAAGTTGTGAGGAGGGCTGGAGTCTCCTGGACAAGTCTCACTGATGCATAAAAGCACAAAGAAAAAGCCACTGTGAACACTGACTGCACTGTGATTTAGTTATTATATAAATTACTATCTGTGATGATTAATGAACTCAAATGCAACATTACTGCGCTTTATTTCATGTACTGTATGGACAAAAGCTGCTGAAAACCACTGCAGGTGACTTTAATGTTGCACAAGTGGGAAATGCACTTTGAAGAATTTTTAGATGAGTTTTTCTCCAGCTAAGTGCAATGCAACACAGATTTTAACTTTATTCAGTGTAACTAGATCATTTTGGTTATTATCCAATACCTTAGTGTTATGTGTTTATATATCCTAATGCATAATTGACCTTACATTGATATAATCTATTTTTAGAACAATAACTAGACTATGCGTTTCCTGTAAAGGTCAGGTCATTTATAACCTGCAGCCATTCAGAAACACCTGGAAGTATTACTGATCCTAGAACAGATTGATGCTGTGCATCTGAGTAGACCATCGGTCTGTTTTGTCCTCGTTTTACCGAAGTGACCTGTGGATCAACAATGATGAAGAATGTTAGCAAAGCACACATTAGATTGATGATGCAAAACAACTGTGACATTTTGCACAAAAGATAAGTTTCATTGTATTCTCTTACTTAGAAATTTTGTTACGGATTAAGTCGATTTACATGTGATTAGATTTGTTCTCTTATCGTGAGAGGAGCTGGTGTGTATCTTTCCGTGGCATCTTTGGACATCATTTGTGTTTGTGCCATTTCAGATGTTGAGAAATGATTCAGGTGACAAATATTTCAGACTGCATGGATCAGCTTTTCTGTTTCAGTTCAGTCAGTCTCCCAGCCGTAGCTATACTGTCTATCCCAGAAGGACATGGGAAACATTTGAGACATGCACAAAAAATGTCTAATTATTAAAGAATCGGCAAAGTTTTGAAATTAACTCCCAAGAAAGTTGATTTTTTTTACCACAGAAATTACTGAAAAAATAAAGTTGCATTAATCACCAAGAGGACCTAAACAGTAAATAAGCAAACTTCAAATAAAAGTGAAAAAAATATATATAACTTCGATAAAAACTGAAAAACAAACAAAAAAAGATACATTTTGTAATAAAAATGTCTTGATTCTCCTTCAAGGCATTTAGGCTCATTCATTTAGTAAGTAAATTTTATTTATATAGCACTTATCACAGACAGACTCACAAAGTGCTTCACATAGATCAAAACAAAAGAAAACCTGTCATGAAATCATAATGAAATGCATTAAGTCTTAGAATATTCACTATTAACAGAAAATTGGTGCAACTAAGAGTATTTTAAATACAATTTTATCCAGACAAGAAATCAAGTGATTTATCAAAAATGAAGCAAACACGAGGTTAGCTGTGTGCAGCATCAAGTTCTTATTGCTCAGAAAACATCCCAGCACAGACAGTCGCTTAGTCCTCCAGAGTAATATGTAAATATTCAAACTGCAATGATAGTGACATAAAGATGTGCACCATCAATACATCAGAATTCTTTACACTCGCACAGTTAACACATTTAGACTGATTCACAAGTGTGTGCTGCTGGATTAGAGGTTCATCAGGTTTCATCAACAAGAAACTAGTTTCTTTTCTTCTGTCGGGCTCCTACTTCCTCCTGGGTCTCTGGAAAACACTGGAATCCAATCAGCATTCCTATAATGGAAAAACCTGGAAAAACAGAACACTGTTATCCTTTGATGTTTATCCAAGAACTGGTTCAAGTGTCACCTCTCCTCTTTAACGATTTCTACTGATTAATAACACAAATATAATTTAAAATAACTGTTAGTTTCTCCTCACTTGCAACAATGAGTGGTGACATCACTCCAATAGACAGTGGTGCAGTTTTGTAGATAAAAGCTTCAGACAGAAAGTGACCCAACGCCAGCACAAATGTCCACAAGGTGATGAGATACAGTCTGCAGGAGTCAGACAAATCATATTAAAATTTTTGATAATAGGCTAGTGGAAACCAGCTCAGGAAGAAGATAAGTGCTTTACGTCCTGTTCTGGATGTCAATGGCACAGGCACAGCGAATGATCGATGACAGCAATGTCCAAATACCAAATGTTCGAGCTTGGAGACCGTTCACTGAAACAGGTGGTCAGAAGGAGAAATAAACATCAGTGGAAATCAGTCTGTTCATTGTTCACAACAAGTTCGTTAAAAAAGGGTGAACTTTCGTCTCATCTCTGCTGTGGCTTTGCTTCACAAAAACTGAGGTTATAATCATATTGTGCATGTGTGGATAACTAGACATGAAAAAACAGACTAGTATAGGATTTCTTTGAGCTTTTTGTTCTAAAGTAAGAGTTGAGTGATCACCAACGGGATTAGTTATCAGTTTCTCACCGAACTCTGGAGTGCCCGTGTAAAGCTTTTCAGACAAGAAGCTGTTATCTCTGAAGCTCTGGACGGTGTTTCCAAACGCGATAATGGACACCATCACTAGCCAGCTCCGCAGAACGTTCAGGAAGCGACTCATACCTTCAGTCTGTGAGGCACCTCGTAGAATCCCAATACGACTGGTTGGTTCGATAAAAACACGTAGCAAATTTGACTTATTCCGTTTACAACTTGGACATTATTGATCAATTAGCAACACGTTCACACATGCTAGTAGTAAAACTGGTCATTAAGATAATTTCAGCGAGAGAAGATACCTAAACTATTGGCATGGCCCTTAAAAAACACACACAACAATAAACGCTAAACAACAAAGTAGGAATAAAGTTTATCGTTTGAAAAAATGAGTTTCTCAATCTTAGCCATCTAGCTTAACCAATAACACAGCTCAAAAAATGGCTCCATTTAATCGTACCATTGTTGTGATTGGCTTCAGCTAACCTAATAGAACCGCCCACTCTCCATCCAACCAATTATAAACGAGCATTCCGCTCTGTCGCTAGGTAGTGTGGGTAGAGAGTAGATAAGAAACAAGAGATATACCTGTCAGAGTTTTTTTTCCCCCGGTTTGCAACACTACGATGTTTAAAATTGATTTAACAGCATAGTTAGTCCAAATGACAGGAAACTCAGAAATTCTTCACCTGGAAAACCTACTAAAGCTCATTAAATCTCTTTCAGTAATAAACGAGTTACAGCAGCAAGCTATTTTTTCAGAACTTTATTGATCAGCAGCTGTGTAAAAGAAGTAACACACATAAGAGACGCCCTCTGGTGGCCAAGGAGCAAAATCTACGGTAGACTTTAAATGAATATTTTCTATGAGCATGAGTTTGTAGTCTCTAATAAAAATGTCACATATACAACTATGAGTTCAAGATCAATAAATAACACCAAATGCATCTAATAAAAACATACCTAGACGTTCATTCAGACTTACAAATTATTTTTTAAAGGTACACTTTTTGTGTCAAACAGGAAGTACCGCTTTAGATTTCACAATACAATTATAAACTATTCAACATTAATGAAATAAAAGCCAAAACAAAGTTCTGAAGCACTCCCAAACTGAATCCCAGAACTCACCTAGTTTTAGATTCATTTGTCTGTTTATTAGGCCCAAGCAGCAAAAGCGCTGCGAAGGCCTGTTGTATCTGCTCTGTTAATTTTTCTTCCGCCAAGTAAATTGGCTGTTTGGAGGCTGAAAACTCAGGAATTTTTTGCACACATGTCAGGAGTGGTGTAAAATTTTGTATTTTAAAGGCTCCAAAAAAATCGCAATGAAACTAGCTCCACAGCGCCCCCTAGAATGTGAAAAATCCCCCCCCCCCCCCCCCCACCCATAATCCTTAGTTTTGTCGTAGGGTTATGAAATTTTGTACACTTGCAGTACTCAACAGTCCGCACAGAAAAGCCTCCTGCAACCATGGTCAACATCAAACAAGTAGTCGGCCATTTTGGTTTGAAGTGGTGATTTTGACTCCGTTTTGGCAGTTTTTAGGGTCCGCGTCTGATTGATTTACTCGATCATTTTTAGCACGATAGTCTCAAAAGTTGTCGGAAATTGCTCAGAAGGGATGGGCGATCAAATAGGAAAAAATAAAACTGACTTTTCGTATATGCTGAGGGGGCGAGGCCAGGCCTCGAAGTTTGACTACTCGCCAAAAAAACATAAATGGCTATAACTTCATACTGGAGTACAGTAGAGTTACAAAAATTTCTGTGGTCATTCGACATCCAGCCACAAACTAAAATGAATGGTCGGATGATGACATCACACAGGCCCCACCCCCTCAGGACCAAACAGGTCAAGTTTTACTGTGATAGGTCTCAAATCGTCCCATTTCACTTAATCACCACAAATTTGTAGTTGGCAACTCAAGACAAGTGGGTGTTTCTTGGCATCACTTTATGGGAGTTTTCAAAAGAGGGTGGGGTTATGGTGGCACAGCGAAGTCAGGCGTACCGCCGTGGCCATACGTTTGCCTCCCATTTAATCATTTCTAAAGATATCGCCATGAAACTTCTGGTGAGTGATCCTAGTCTGGCCCTCCAAAAATCTGATGTGAAAATCTGGTGGGCGTGGCCTATTTTCTTAAATAGCGCCCCCTAGGACCATTAAAATTGTCAGCCCCAAGCCATGCTTTGACTGAGGATTACGAAATTTGGTACATTAATGTAGTGTCTCAGGACCTACAAAAACGTCTCTTGGAGCCAAGCGCTAAATCGCACAGGAAGTCGGCCATTTTGGTCCAAGTACTAGATTTAGTGGTTTTTGCACACGTTGTTTGGAGAATGATGCCCCGTTGCCCTTTTCACCAATCACCTTCAAACTTCTGCTATGGACTCTTAAGCTATAGGGGAAATAATTCAACCGTTGGATTTTTCAAAAGTTGAAAGGTGTGGGTGTGGCTAAGCCTCAAACTTTGACTTGTCGCCACACCACTCTTTTTTTCACAGCTCTCTATTGGACTCCTTTCACCCAATCACCAGCAATCTCTGGCAAATAGCAGTAGACAAGTTGAGGTAACTTGGAGTCCAGTATTGGCAGGTTTAAAAAAGGCGGGGCTTTGGGAGCATGGCGAAATTCGCCATCACGCCATGTAAATATGTTTGCCTCTCATTTCCTCAGTTATCATGATATTGCCACGAAATCTCTGGTGAGTGATCCTAGTCTGATCCCCAATAGAAATGAACATGATAGGTTTTTGGGCGTGGCCTATTTTCAGAAATAGCGCCCCCTAGGACCATCAAAACTGTCAGCCCCAAGCCATGCTTTGACTGAGGATTACGAAATTTGGTACACTAATGTAGTGTCTCAGGACCTACAAAAAAGTCTCTTGGAGCCAAGCGCAAAGTTGCACAGGAAGTCGGCCATTTTGGTCCAAGTACTCAATTTAGTGGTTTTCGCACACATAGTTTGGAGAGTGATGCCCCATCGCCCTTTTCACCAATCGCCTTCATACTTCTGCTATATACTCTTAAGACATAAGGGAATAAATTCAACTGTCGGATTTTACAAAAGTTGAAAGGTGTGGGCGTGGCTAAGCCTCAAACTTTGACCTTTCACCATTAAATTACTTGATGTAATAACTCCCATGTGCATGGTCAGATCCATATCAAACTTTGTCTGTGTGATCACTGACCACATCTTAAGACAGTGACAATGTGGAAAGCTGACATCACTTAAGCCCCACCCCCGACAACAGGAAGTCGATTGTTTTATGGTGAGATGCCCATATTTGTCCCCTCTAATTTAGTCAACATGACACTAAGGTAATGCACTGACTTCCTGATGCTGAAATGACCATTCAGTTCTGATAGTTTTCCAGAAAGGGAGGGGCTTTGATGCCATGGCGAATTCTGGCGTGACGCTGTGACCTTACGCTTGACTGTAACTTCCGCAAACAGCCTCCGATCTCCACGAGACTGAACATTGCAATCAACAATCATGCCCTTTAGCCAAGGAGGCACAAACGGTTGGTGAACGCTGAATAATATCACCACAGCGCCCCCTACACACCTTTAAAACTGTAACAATTTATACAGACGAGGTCACAACTGCACCAAACTTGCTATATGTCATCACATAAAGGCACCCAACACAACCCTGTGGTCATTGGTTGATATCGCTTTAGCTCCGCCCCCTGACAGATATTAGACCCTGAATAAGACATGCATGATGCAATTCACACCAAACTGCACACAAATGACTGTCATCAACCTGTGAACTTCTTCATGGAATATTTCCTAAATTTGGCACAGTGCCCCCTAGATACAATAGAGTTAATTACTTCCTAATACAAGGTCACAATGGCATTAAACTTAGCTTGTGTCATCACGTGACTGCATTAAACACATTGATGTGGTTGTAGGTTCAAACCCCTGTAGCTCCACCCCCTTTTGGCTCTCTGGCTCTAGATAACACACACAACGTCTGATTGATGCCAAAATATCAGAAAACTATCTTTGTCAACCAAAGACCTCAATGGGATTTTTCTGTAGTTGGTCACAGTGCCCCCTAGATAACTTTAACCTTCAATGACTTCAAAAAACGTGGTCAGAATAGCATTAAACTTGGTCTGTGTCATCACACCACCAGTGTGGTAAAGATAGAGTATCCCCTAGTGGTTAGATGTGTAATTTAATGGTGGGCTCAGAGGAGATGCTGAGTCAGGGTGAGGCGCAGACGAGGAGACCGTTCATGGTTTCTGGTGTCAGGGTGGTTGATGTTTATGTTCAGAGGACGTGCCTGGGAGTACCAGACTGCCGGCCAGGCCGGAGTGGCGTGGAGCTGCGAGGGCCGAACGACTCAACTTGCATCTTTAATATTTTTTTTAAACCAGTAACAGAATACAATCATAGTTCTTTTTCTACTTCTTACTTAGTAAAAACATTTGCTCTATATGTGTGTCATTAAAATAATAGGAAATGTGCGCCCTCTGCTGGCAACAAAAAGAACAACTCTGTCTGATTTCCAAAACCTTTAGAGAAGGGAACAATGGAAGTGGCTGCTCTCTAGTGGTCAAAGCTGGTACTAAACTTTTTAAAATATTTATGATTTAGAAGAGAATATTTAGCCTCCTTATGGGTGTTTCTAGCATGCTTTTGGTGGTGCTAAAGCACTCCTAAATGTAATCCCAGATTTCCTAAAGCTTGAGGTTCATTTATTCATTTATTTTTAAATACAATATCACTCCTTTTTTACTGTTTATTCTTTGTCAAAATAGACTTTTACCAGATTTACTTAATAAAAACACTTGCTCTATATGTATTGTTTCATCATAATGGGGATATTGCGCCCTCCGCTTGCAACAAATAGAACAACACTCTGATTTCCAATCCCGTTTAGAGAATGGAACTTGGTGTTTTGCTGCCCTCCAGTGTCTGAAAGTGTTACTACACTTTAAGTCTTTTTTTTTTTTTTTACCAATTTAGAAGATATTAGTGTTCTGAAAATTAAATAAGTCTTAAAATCACATTTTTTAATCTGCCATACTATCGTGTTATTTTGCCAATCCAAATCCCCTAAGACACCAAGACTTTAAACGACTAAAACTGCACCTCTCTCATTCAGTACATCCTGTAAGAAAACACAAGAAAGCTGAATGGCTGCAGAGATTTCAAAATTTGTTCACGTGGACAAATTCCCAGCAAGTGCGCATGCGCCCCCTCTCTGTTGCTACTCATTTGTTGTAGTTACCAGGAAGATTATACCCGCCGTGTTGATGCCAGCCTGTTAGCATTTTAGCAGCCCCACAGAGCGTGTGCTGACATTCAGGTGAAAAATGCGTCTGCTTAAGGGATTTATTGGTTGAATTTGACTTCTGCCTGCGTGTAGCACTCGTACCCTTAGTGGTTTTACGCTTGTTGGGCTGTCTCGTTCTGTTGCAACGTCCTATG